AGCTGGAAACCTGTACTTCGTGCACTAGGCTTTCACTTCAAAGTTGTAGTTTTTCAGAAACCTGTACTTCGCGCGCTACACTTGTGCTACAAAGTTGCGATTTTTCCAGCTAGAGGTTGAAATCTGTACTTCGCGGAAGACTTCGCGCACTAGACTTGCACTATCAAGTTGCGATTTTCCAGCGCGTACTAAAGTTCTGAGCGACACACCTGAGCACAACTTCTGATTGACACTTCTGAGCGACACTTTTGAGAGACACCTGATCAACACTTCTGAACCACACTTTTTCTGATGGACACTTCTGAGCAACTCTTCTGAGCGACACTTTTTCTGATCGACTTTTATGAACAACACATCTGACTGACACTTCTGAGCGACAATTTTGAGCGACACCTGATCAACACTTCTGAACCACACTTTTTCTGATGGACACTTATGAGCAACACTGCTGAGCGACACTTTTTCTCACCGACTTTTCTGAGCAACACGTCTGATCGACATTTGTGAGCAACACGTTTGATCCGCACTTCTGATTGACACTTCTGATCGACAGTTTGAGCAACACTGCTGAACCACACTTCTGCTTGACACTGATGAGCAACACTTCTAATCCAAATTTCTCAGTGACAGTTCTGAGCAACGTTTCTGACCAACACTTCTGAGCCACACTGCTCATCGACACTTCTGAACGACACTTCTGAGCAACACTCTTGAATTGGCACTTCTGATCGACGCTTCTGAGCAACACTTCTGAACGACACTTTTTCTGATCGATTTTCTTGAGAAACACTTTTGAGGGACACTTTTGGGCGACACTTTTGAGCGACACCTGACCAACACTTCTGAGCGACACTTTTTTTTGATCGACTTTTCTGAGCAATCAGAACTTCTGAGTGACACTTTTGAGCGACACCTGGTCAATCACTTCTGAACCACACTTTTTCTGACCCACACTTACGAGCAACACTTCTGAGCGACACTTTTTCTCACCGACTTTTCTGAGCAACACTTCTGGTCGACACTTCTAAGCAACACTTTTAATCCGCACTTCTGATTGACACTTCTGATCGACAGTTTGAGCAACACTGCTGAACCACACTTCTGATTGACACTGATGAGCAACACTTCTGATCCAAATTTCTCGGTGACAGTTCTGAGCAACACTTCTGACCAACACTTCTGATCCACACTGCTCATCGACACTTCTGAACGACACTTCTGAGCATCACTGCTGAATTGACACTTCTGAGCGACACTTCTGAGCAACACTTCTGATCGACACTTCTGACCGACACTTTTGAGGAACCTTCTCATCAACACTTCTGAGCAACAATTGACGCTTCTGAGCGACACTTTTGAGCGACACCTGGCCAACACTTCTGAACCACACTTTTTCTGACCGACACTTCTGAGCGACACTTTTTCTGATCGACTTTTATGAACAACACTTCTGATTGACACTTCTGAGCGACAATTTTGAGCGACACCTGGCCAACACTTCTGAACCACACTTTTTCTGACCGACACTTCTGAGCGACACTTTTTCTGACCGACTTTTATGAACAACACTTCTGATTGACACTTCTGAGCGACAATTTTGAGCGACAACTGATCAACACTTCTGAACCACACTTTTTCTGACCCACACTTATGAGCAACACTTCTGAGCGACACTGTTTCTGACCGACTTTTCTGAGCAACACGTCTGATCGACATTTGCGAGCAACACTTTTAATCCGCACTTCTGATTGACACTTCTGATCGACAGTTTGAGCAACACTGCTGAACCACACTTCTGATTGACACTGATGAGCAACACTTCTGATCCAAATTTCTCAGTGACAGTTCTGAGCAACACTTCTGACCAACACTTCTGATCCACACTGCTCATCGACACTTCTGAACGACACTTCTGAGAAACACTGCTGAATTGACACTTCTGAGCGACACTTCTGAGCAACACTTCTCATCGACACTTCTGAGTGAGCAGCACTTCTGACCCACACTTTTGATTGACACTTCTGAGCGACACCTGATCAACACTTCTGAACTACACTTTTTCTGATCAAACTTCTGGGCGACACTTTTTCTGATCGACTTTTCTGAGCAACAGTTCGGATCGACACTTCTGAGCAACACTTTTGATCCGCACTTCTCATTGACACTTCTGATCGACAGTTTGAGGAACACTACTGAACCACACTTCTGATTGACACTGATGAGCAACACAACAGATCCACACTTCTCATCGACAGTTCTGAGCAAAACTTCTGGGAAACACGTCTGATCCACACTTCTGATCTGATCAACCAGTTCTAGTTCTGAGCAACACTTCTGATCCACACTTCTGACAACATTTCTGAGGGACACGTCTGAGCAACACTTCTGAGCAACACTTCTCTTCGACACTTCTGACCGACACTTCTGAGCAACACTTCTGAGCAACACTTGTGTCGACACTTCCGATGAGCGACACTTTTGATCGACACTTCTGAACGACGCTTCTAATCGACACTTCTGAACGCCACTTCTCTGAACGAAACTTCTGTCTCCAAATGCGCACCGCGCCACAGCGAGAGCGATTCGACCCACCCAAAGTGCGCAGAGAGTTCACTTTGCGCGCTCAAAATGTGCACCGCGCCACACCCAGATTCGACCCACCCAATGTGCGCAGAGGGTTCACTTCGCATGCTCACAATGCGCACCGCGCCACAGCGAGAGCGATTTGACCCACCCAAGGTGCGCAGAGGGGTCGCTTCGCATGCTCAAAATGCGCACCGCATCACAGCGAGAGCGATTTGACCCACCCAAAGTGCGCAGAGGGTTCGCTTCGCGTTTGCAAAATGTGCACCGCGCCACAGCGAGAGCGATCTCGCTGAGTCAAACTGACGTGCCTGCCACGAAACCTACACCCAGGCGCACTCAAAATGCGCACCGCACCACAGCGAGAGCGATTCGACCCACCCAAAGTGCGCAAAGGGCTCGCTTCGCGTTCTCAAAATGTGCACCGCGGCACAGCGAGCTGCCACGAAATTGAACCAAAACGCATGAAACTGCTGCGCCTGTCACGCAAAGTAAGCTTGCCACAAGCTCAAAGTCATCCAAAGTGTTGGACCTGCCACGAAATCCAACTTTGACGCCTTTACGACACGCGTCCAAAACTAGCACGAGACTGTGGCGCCAGAATGACTTCGACCAATTTTGACACGCTTCAGGCCCGCCAAAACGAGCCGATTGTACGACAGGGCCAACGAAAACGGCGCCGGCGCAAACACTATGACGCGCCTACCAAGCAGGAAACCAAAAAGCGACCACCCCCGGATCGCAAATCCCAATGGCGCGGCAACGAGAACGCGCAGCCTTCCAGAACACTGCGCCTGCGCAGCGAAACGACACGTCGAGCTTGAGAAGCTACGATTCGCGCACAGGGCCAATGAAAACAGCACTTGCCGATCCATCAAAGACACGCTTCCACGACGAATCCCAATGGCACACGCTTATCGCCTCACCGCGAACGGCTGTGGACGGCTGCGAACGGTTGCAGATGTTGCGAACTCTGGAACAACTCCTCGCGAACACGGCCTCCACCCCCAGACCCCCACTTATAAACGAGAACCCTTCGCTACACATTCGGGAAAATGATGATAAACATGACAATAAAGATGATGATGATGACGACGACGATGATGATGATAATGATGATGATGATATAGAGATGATGATGATGATGATGATGACGATGATCATGATGATGATGATAATAATAATGATGATGACGATGATGATGATCAGGTGGCCAGCCTGAACCCCCTGGATGTTTTCAATTTATTTATTTTTTCTTTCTGCCAGAATTGAAAAAGAATTTTGGCCAGAATTGAAAAACTAAGAGAATAGTCCTAAATTCTTCCATTATTTCATTTTTTTCTTTTGGCCAGAATTGAAAAAGAATGATTTAAAAAATGAAAAAAGCGTGGTCTTGGATTGTTCCTTTTTCTTCACTTCTTTCAATTCTGGCCAAAAGGAAACATTGAAAAACTGAAGAAAAACAAACAGGGAGTCTGGGAATGGCTTGGATGATGATGATGATGATGATGATGATGATGATGATAAAAATGATGATGATGATGATGATGATGATGATGATGATGATGATGATGATGATGATGATGATGATGATGATGATGATGATGATGATAAACATGATGATAAAAATGATGATGATGATGATGATGATGATGATGAGGATGCTGCTGCTGCTGCTGATGATGATGATTATGAACTTGATGATGATGATGAACATGATAACAATGCATAAAATTTCCTGGTCACATGATACATACTATTCCCTCTTACGGGGGGGTGGGGGGCGGCAGCCCCCCATGATACTCGAAGAAGCAACATTCAACAAAGGATTCCAAAAAACAAAGCAGCCGGGGGGTGGGGGGCGATGCTCGAAGAAGTGCATGCATACAAACATACATACATACACTACACCACACTACACCACACTATATACACCACAGTACACTACATTGCACTACGGTACAGTACATTACGTACATACACACATAGTTCACATACTTCCATACATAAACATATATTAAAAAACACACTTGCCAGAGATGAACTGGTGATGCTACCATGTTCCCGAAGGCCGCAGGAACCAACGAAAGGCTGCAAAAGCCACAAAGCCGGGAAGTGGAGGATGAAGCCAACAAGCGCGCCTGCCAACTGGGAATGCAGAGGATGCGGCTGCCAAGCCAAGAAGCCGATTGCCAAAAAGCAAGAAGCCAAAAAGCCAAGAACCCAAGAAGCCAAGAACGGTAAAAACAAACAAAACAAAAAACAGAAACATCATTTAAAAAATACTCCTCCAAGGAGAATTGACATGCAATGACATAACATAGTCTCAATCGAGCATGGATTCCGGCACAGACTGACTCCGAACGAATCACTCCGAAGTAGCGGGCCATGGGGCAACCCCGACTCCCCCTGCCGACCTCAGCAATCTGGCGAGCTGCCGCCCAACCACCGGCAGACTCCGCAAAGTGGAAGAGGCTTGCCTTTGCAAGCTTGGGCTCGTTGGATCTTGGAATGTTCTGCAAACTTGCGGCCCTGCCATCGCTCTCAAAGACAGTTGTACGGTGTGGTGGGGAGACTGCGCAGTCAGAACGCTCAGCGCTCAAGATAGCTCACGAATCAAAGTGCCCAATGCTTGCAAATATTGCGTTTGATATAGATCTCCTTCGATAGTCGCAGGAGGCAATCCCAGCGCTGGCATAGCTGACGTTGAAAATGCGCCGAGGAAGCTTCACCATTGGCCTCGATGCCAGCACTGCACTTGCCAATGTCATGTGTCGCCCCATGTGCCACCGCACAACTATATGGCAAGACACCTTCAGAATCGCAGCTTGCTGCTCCTCTCATGGCAACGTGGGCAATCAAGCATTCAACAAGCAGCCATGCCATACCATGCCATACCGATAGTCGAATTTCCCACGGCCCCTCCTGTATGCCTTCCAGCAGTCGGCACACGCAGGAGTAGCTCACTGCAGCCTAGAAAAGGCTCGGCATTTATAACCACATTGCCATGGCCGTAAGGCAAACCGATCAACGTGATCAACTGCAATACTGCCATGCCTCGAGGCGACTGCGAACTGCCGGCGTTGTCGGCGAAATACCTTGTGGCGAGTGAAGCTTCCAAAGTGCAAAGGAAACCAGGGCCGTCCTGCACCAACCAGCTGAGAGATGACAGATGTGAACACGGCATTCGCGAAGCCAAACGCCTTTCCGCTCGAATACTGACACATTCTTTGAAGAAGACACCAGTGCCAAGCCTGCCGGTCAAATGCGTTCGCAGCAATGCCAACAGAAGCATCAGTACCAGCAAGCGCGCCACATTCGACCGGCCTCGCCGCTCAGGTGCTCAACTCAAGACAGTCTTTGCCCGGATCCGAGACTAAGTTTGGGTCAGCGGAGGAAGAACCTCAAGCAACGGCGGCGCCTGCTTGAGCGCGGGGACCCTCCTTGGAGGCAGCGGCTTGCGCCGATTCCCTGGTCAAATCTAGTTCCTTGCCTCGGCTGGAGCTTTGGCACGGAATCGTGTTTGGAGGGCTCTACCAGGCCTGCCATTGCATCACAATTCTCACAATTGCTGATCCGAAAGAGTATGGTTGCTGGGGCCTCCAAAGCCTGATGTCGGAGTTTGAAGCGACTGGCAGCTGGAGAGCTGATCGATAGGATGGAATGTGCTCTTCCTGGCCTTCGCAACTGTTGGGCCAGGTGGGAGGAAAGCCTCGCAAAACTGAGAGCTCTCACAGGACAAAAGCTTGACAGGCGACTACACGAAAGCATAGAAAGACTACACCAAAGCATGGAATACTCAGCCAACTGGAGTTCACTGCTTTAGCTTTGCACGGTCTGAAAATGGCAAAGCGCAGGGCGCCTGTGGCGCTTCGTGAGTATCCATAGGCCTTGGAAGGTCAGTCCAAACTGCCTCGTGTCAATGTAAGCCAATGTAAGCTTTGCCTGGACCATCTGCAATGCAACAACGCGCCTTTTTAACGTTAATATTCAGCATATGCTTGTCTTTTCATGTCCCAGGGCCCTTTGCCAGGCCATCCTTTCGTTCCGCTCAGCCAGGCTCCTTTGTGAGACGCACCACCTTTCTCACCGTCAGGTGCACCTGTCGAAGTGGGAGTTTGAGGGCTTCCGCTGCTAAATGCCTGGCCAAAAGCTGCCGGCCCACCTTTCATTGCCTCTGGTGCCATCGAAGCGACAGAGGCGGGGACTGCGTGGCATGAGCTCTGAGACTCATCTGTCTCTGAAAGTTTTGGAAGGCGCTTGCCGCTTCCCGCTAGGCCCTGAGGGTCAAATACCTCTGCCCAGTAGAACCATCGCTGCGGCTTCGCTGGGTCAAGACGGTCAGCGATCCGTCGGGATTCCTCGAGGATCCGGGCCCACTGCGCCTCCCCCAGGGTCAGTGCCAGGTTCTTCCGCGCGCCCTGCTTCAGTGCAACGGGGTCTTCCAAATACAGTGGGGGAGGAGGGCCGACGTGAGAGCCAGGAGGCGGGGCAGCTTCACAGTCAGCGCCCTCAGTGAGGGACATCCCCCACGGAGTCCGAGGCTGGGGCGCACAAACAAATTGGAAGAAGCCGCGCAAGAGCTCCATGAGAGACCCTGTCTGGCTTGCTGCACCCGAGGCACCTCCCAGGGACGGCACGAGCCTCTGGCGCTGAAGGAAGCACAGAACAAACACCGTCCATGCCACTCCATTCATGTATCCTTCATGCTGGCACGACAGCCCGTGATTGGCTGCCCACAGCTTGACCATTCGCACCAAGTCCCGTGATACGGCCAAAGTATCGCACAACTTCCTGAGCACCACATCAAGGTTTTCAGAAGAGGCAGGAATGGCTGGCACTTCTGCATCATCAATTACAACATGGGCCTGAAAAGTTGGCGTGCTGGCCGCTTTCAACTTCACTGAGAAGTGACACGCAGCATGCGGGAAAAGGCGTGTGGCGTCTGTCACCTCCAAATTGTTGGAGAGAGGTGGGCTTCGAAGTTTGTCCCACAGGCGCCAGATTTTCCGCTCCCGGTCCTCCCCACATAAATGCCAGGCAATGTCCAGGTCAGAGCCCTCGAGGTCCGTGCCTTGCGCAGCAGAGCCAACCATCTCAACCTGCAAAGGGTTCGCGGAGAACGCCTGTGAAACTGCCGACTTCACGAAAAGAACGGCACGCTGGCAGTTCTTCTTGTGTTCGTCCGTCGGCTGCAGCTTCCTCGTCAATTCCCGAAGCTCTAGCTCCATCCCGCAGGCTTTGCTGCTGATGATCGTAGCCCTCAGCTCCTCATCGCTGAGCGCATCATCCCACAACGAGTCCTCCTGCGTTCTGTGTTGGATGGTGATGTTCAGAACTAGCCATTGTTTTGGGGTGGCGTTGGCACTGTCAACGCTGAATGAGATATGATACTGGGGTTGAGTTGGGGTCGGTGTAGGCAAAGTAAGAGCAACATCGCTGACCTAGTCGAGCGGTTAGATGCTTGGCATATTCTTAGCCACATTCAGATTTTCCCCCAGAACCCCTCTGGGACCTGGAATGTGTGCCTTCGAGGCAAATTGGGGGTTGGATCCACTTTTTCCCCCTGTGTCTCCGCCAATTATCAGGCAGAAACATCTAACGCAACACTCTGCCTCCCTCCGCTCGCCTGAGTGTGTGTGTGTGTGTGTGTGTCTGTGTGTGTGTGTGCTTGTGGTCTCTCTGTGTGTGTGTGCCGTTCAAGCGGCTGGCGGGCTGGGGGGCGAGCGGGCGAGCTTGCGTGCTGGTGGACGGGCGGGCAGGCGCGTGCAGGCGTGCGCGTGTGAGACATGTTGGGCGCGCGGGCGAAACAGTGGATAGATGAAAGAGCAGTCATAAATTGATGGAAATAGAAAGCAAAAGATGTCCAATTTGAATTGGTTGGCATGTTGGAGGTAGAAAGATAGAGGCAGTGAGCAATAAAGAAATGAATTTTGGTCATCACGCGCGCGTGCAAGATTTGGTCATTTCTGCCCTGATGGGCGGGCTGGCTTATTTGAAATACATAAGCCGCCGTTCCTATTCAAATCAAGTTGCTTGCATGTGCAAAAATGCCAGTTGGCACTCCCACGAGTCCTGGCACATTTGGGCAGGCTGCTCTGCTTGCCTAGGATGCAGAGGCTGGCCAGGCTGTCCAGGCTTCCCATGTGCGGGTTGCTCAGGCTGTGCAGGACGCTCAGGTTGTGCAGGATGCTCAGGCTGCGCAGGACGCACAGTATGCACGGGCCGCACAGGCAGCGCGGGCTGCACAGGTGGCACAGTTTGCACAGGCTGTGCAAGATGCACAGGCTGTGTGGAATCCAGAGGCTGTGCGGGATGCACAGGTTGCCCGGGTTGCCAAGGCTGTCCAGGACCTGCCTGACCTGCTTGAAGCGCAGCTCGTGACAATGCGCGCTGCGCATGCCATGGGGCGGGCTCATGTGAGGCCTCTTTTGGCTTGGCTGGCTGTGTCCTTGGTGCCGTTGGCGATGAAGGAGACGCGGGCGACGCGGTTCCCGGTAGTGGTTCAGGTGGTCCAGGTGGTCCAGGTGGTCCGGGTCCAGGTGCAGCGCGGGACGGCGCAGACTTGGACGTCGGCTTCAGGGATGGCGCCTTGCTCGAGGCCTCGAGCTTTGGTTGCGCGCCGTTGCTTTCCAGCTTGTCCACTTCACCAAGCCGCGGTGCTTTGGTCCCCCTGTCCATTTCAGGCCACGCCCTCTTGCGAGGAGCATCCTGCACAATTGGACTCAACTCTGGTGCTCTTGTAGCGGCGGCTTTGCTGGTTGTCTTCGGGGCCTCGTTGCTCACAAGTGCAACTACGGATCCCTCCAACTTGAAAATCGCGTCGTGCTTGGACAGGAACTTCCGAATATGGCCAAAGCCTTGCAGCTCATGTTGGCCCCATTTCACCTTCACAGACAACGAGGTGATGGGCGCTGTGCCACCTTCGGCCTCAAGCCCAGATCGCAGGATCTGCACCGCCTTTGACTCGTCCATCCGTGCACGGAATCATTGCAAGCCACTCAGCCTAAACCAGGCTTGAGATGTCAAATGCCGCGTCATGCGGAAGTGGAACTGCACTTGCTGCCCTTGTTACAACCATTGCACTTTCGCAAACTTGTCACGTTCAATGCCTAGACAAAACCGAATAGTTGTCGGTCAATTCAAACACGATTATATAGTCGGTTGGGTGCACAAGCGTCCTGCCAGGCCTGCAAATGCTTGCCAGGGCACGTGGCTTTCGATGCTGGCCTGTCAGCCTTCCAGGGAAGCTTGCTCAGAAAACGCTGCGGCCATGGACATGTCGTACCTCAGCCTGTCGTTTGGCGAGAATACCTCAGCAAAGCAAGATGCACATTGCTGCAACCTGACAGTTAAGCTCACAAGTTGGGAAGCGGCCTTGCATGAGCCGCCCAATGGGGGCAAAGGAGGTTTTTGGCGGAGGCGGCTCCTGGGATAAAGCTCGCTCTAATGGTGGCCGAAGTCACAGCGAAGAACTCTCCTCTCTGGGAGGTGGCAGCGGGCTCTTAGGCTTTTCATGCACCTCCTCCGCTGTAGCAGCCTCGCCTTGTCCTACACTGTCTTACACACTGCAGTCAAGCCAGTTGGCACCTTACAATCCCCGCAATCCGTCATGCAACTCGTGACCGCCTTCATCTGCTGGCCATTCTGCTGATGTCCCAGGGGCTGTGGGGGCAGGCACTGGCTGCACTTCGATCTAGGGACAAGTTGACACATGTTCAGGTCCTTTCTGTTAGCCTAGTCACAACTCAGTGAAGCGCTTCTGGAGGCCAATCTCCAAAGCCTCCACGCAGCCGCATGCATCTCAATCCCTTTGCCCTTGATCATTGGCAAAACACGTTGCCAGCCTGCAGTAACACCTCCGCTCCAGCTGGGCCACGCATCCTGTGGGTCCTGGCCATTTTGTGCCCTCGAGAAAGCCGTCAGCCGAAAGGAAGCCAACATCAGCCTATCCAAACAGGGAAGCAAGAATTGAGGCACCTCACTCGCTGCATCATTTTCGGCAGCGCTCATTGAAGCCTACAGGCCACTGTTCCAAGCGCCATTTCGCCAAGCGAAGCCGTCACTGTCCCTGCAAAGATCTGCAAAGCATGTTGCGCCGCCTGAGAAGTGTCTGCCCTCCGACGGCCTGTGCCTGAGGTCAGGGCAAGTGCTAATTCGGTCAATGCTATTCCTGAATGTCATGGACTGTGTGACCAATAAATCGCTGCTATGCCTAAGCCAAACGGCAAAAAAAAGTGCTTTGTTTGTTTGTTACCATCCTTGAAATTGAATCGACGACACTGACTCGCTATCAACTGGTAGCCTCTATGGGACGCCCAACTGCCAGGGTTGTGCAATTGGATGCACCCCAACAATCCGAACACGCGATCGCAGTGTCGGAACATGGTTGGACAAGGATGACTGAACATCTTAAACTGTCAAGCACGTACTGCATGCTCCGAAGCAAGCCACGTAAGCTGGAACCGAAAATGGGGCCTCCTGCAGTCAGAAGGTGAAACACAGACTGGTTCAGGAGCAGCATGTGCATGTGCATGTGCATGTGCATTTGCATGTGCATGTGCATGTGCATGTGCATGTGAATGTGCATGTGCATGTGCATGTGCATGTGCATGTGCATGTGCATGTGCATGTGCATGTGCATGTGCATGTGCATGTGCATGTGCCTGCCTGCCTGCCTGCATGCCTGCCTGCCTGCCGGCCGGCCGCGTAAGGCTGCGCGTGTGCGGTGCGTGTGCGTGCGCGTGCGCGTATGCGTGGTCACCTGCGTGTCATGTGCGTGTGCCTGTGTGATTGCATGCGCGTGCGCACGGGTGCGTGTTCGTGTGCGTCTGCACGTGCATGTGAATGTGTGTTTGCGTGCGCGTGCTCGTGCGCGTGTGCGTTCGTGTGCGCATGTGCGTGTGGGCGTGCGTGTGTCTGTGTGTGTGTGTGTGTCAGTTTTGATTCTTGTTTTTGGGCCTGCTGTCCCCGACATATAAACTCATGATCTATTGACCTGGCCATTTTGGATCAAGGCCTGGTACTAAAAACCCGTTGCCATTGCACAGAAGAACATGCTTTCCTGGTTTGCACTTCTTTCAAGGGTTGGAGCATCCTTGGAATGGCGCTACACTGCACACTCTCGTACGCCTCATTTTGGGCCTCTAGAATGTGCAAATCCAGCGGTACCTAGGAATTATCCGAATTTGGACCCGCAAGGGTTCAGTTTTTAGATAGCCCCCCTGGGCCTTGATTGACCTAGGAAATGTAGGAGAATCGATGAGAATCGCCATTCCAAAGCACGCGAGCACAAATCTTGCGTTCTGCATCCCATGGCCTGGATGAGAAAGTGCAGAGATTCCCCAGAGACTTAGCAAAGCAGAACACAATGTATGAATTGTATGTCAATGGCAAGTGTTCTTATGACCCTCAAGTCAAGACTGAGTGATTCGCCGGGATAAGTTGCCTCAAGGAAGGCACTGCATCTCGAGTCTGCTGTCACATCTGCTTATCTCTGCCTTCACCTGTGGGCGCAGGCACATCTGCAGCTGCTCGTATCTTGACCTGGCAAGAGGCTTCGACAGAGAAGTGCTCGAGGTCAGTCAAGGCGAGCTTTGGGCTCGAAGCTCTTGGCACGCCTTCCTCCAGGCTTCGCCTCGCAACTCACCTGACGGCTGAGGACTAAACATGTAATTTGTTGAGGACTTGAGGCAATATTGAGCCAAGCATCTGCCCAGCAAAGTGTCCAAGCATTGATGCTGGAAATGCTGAAGGTCACTTTCCGCACGGCAAACTCCCCAAACCCGCACCTAAAACGGCCACGCAAGGCAATTTCAGACTCTTGGCCTTTCGGCAATCAGCAGGCATCACCTCCGTGATCTCTAGCTCGGCGGGGCCAAACGTCACATCTGCCTGAGACAACTTGTGGCCCACTTTAAAATGAGATCGTTCAAAGTCCGCGGCCTCGAGTGGGAGTGGTGGCATGTTTCCAGAGGCAGTGAGGGTCATAAGGCCATCAACCCAAACCTGGCAGCTTGCGCAGAGCTCAAGCAAAGCGCTAGCACAGTCACGCTGACAAATGCTAGCATGGCAATCTTCCCATTCAGCAATCAGGGAAAATCGGGCGGTCTAAGTCAAACGGCGGTGCCTCCAACGAAGCTATGTTCGACCGCAGGGCGACATGCACCCACTCGGCTTCTGGAAGCGCGTCGCCTGCATTCTCACGCTGTATTCGAGAGCACACTGGGCGTTGCATTCTGCCTGCAGAAACAACTCAAAACAGCTTGAGGAAAGCATGATTGCAGCACACGCTCAGTGCTCAACAGCTGCCGGCTAGGGCAGTCCGCCCGCTGATGTTGACTTCAAAGCCAGGCTGACTGCAAGGTGTGGAGCGCTGGCACAGCCAAGTGACAAAAACGGTGGCAAACACACCTTGGCTTGTAGCGCCATTCCAGCGTAGAACTGCCCGAACGCTGGAAAAGTATGGCGTCCTGTCCCAGGCTTTCACCAACAACAAAAAACGCGCCCGTGCACTTCATGCATATCCTCTGGGCTTCTCTTGACTCTCCGCAGCCAAAGCTCAACCTCCAGGCTACACCCCAACGACTCCAGCATTCGAAGCCACACAGTGTGAAGGCCCGCACTGTCCAACCTGCAACCAGCATGTCTCCCTCATTTTCATCGCGGGCCTGGTCACTCCACAACGGCGCTAAGTGCAGGATGGCCCCCAGCAATCCCAAGCACATCGGGCCACATTGATGACATCAGGAATTGCTGCAATCGCACCTTGCTAAGGTGCTGTTCGCCATCTGGCCGGCTTCCTGCTACCAGCGCCAGCCTTAGCTGCGCTTCTGCGCAGAATACGCATCTAGCTCAGACGAGCAGCATTTCACGATCGCTCGTACTTGTTGGAGAATAACGAAGCCTTGAATCTGGCTGGGCTGCATAGGTAACATGAAGCAGGCAAGAAATATCCAAGGGCACGACTCGGCCTGGCCCAAGTGGATAGCGAAATTCGGTGATAAAGCTTGGCCCCACCTTGGGACAGCCGAGCCGGCCAACCAGCCGGGAAGACAGGCACCCTATACTCGCAGACGGTCTTGTCCCGCTGTTTCTGGTCGCTTTGGTGGTCTGAATCGCAACTGTGCTGCAGTTCGCCCTTTCACAGAATTTGCCTGCTTGCCCTCATTCTTTCTGCAAACGGAGCCATAGCGCTTGGAATTCGGGCTCGCTGGCAGGAATCCACCGTAAAGAATTTCCTGATGCAAAATGGTACTCATCTACCTTTTTCGTAGTACATGCATGCCTTCAATCCGCTCAGGGCAGACTATCACATCCACGCAGAATGGTGTGTGTGTGTGTGTGTGCGTGGGAGAGAGTACGCATCCGGGTTTGCATTTGCGCCAAGTTGCGTGCGGGTGCGGACTGGGTGGTCGCCCGCGCGACTGCGGGCGCAATCACATGAAGATGTCGGTGGGTGGGTGTCTCTGTGTGTGATAGCTACATTGCTGTTCGGGAACTGCTTTGCGGTCAGCCTGTTTGATAATGTTCATGCAAGGCAACGCTGGTAACAACTTCGATCCTCTCGGCCCTGCATGCATAATGTGCGCATATTGTACCTCCCTGTTCGGACAGCTTAACCTGCCTGTTCTCCTTACCAAGCTGCAAAACTGCAAATTTGTGGCCGGCACAGCAGAGTATGATTTGGTCGAGGCGCTCATCCGTCGATTCCATCGGATCATCAGGTAGCAAGGGCCCACGCCAGTTGCCACCACCTGCCCAGCGACATGAAGCCCACTCAGGTCTCATCGCATTGATTCATCCTGAGGCAAGTGCGCAGCGCTCCTGCACGGCCACATCCTGCACTGTCTCTCACGTGGGCCCCTTCTCCATCAGCACATCGCCTGCAAACAGCCCCGCCCTGTTCGCACTGTTCGCACTGTTCGGCTTTGCCAGGCGTCCCACCAATAAATAAGAAGCCCGTTCGCCAGCACTCCAGGCTCCCTACACAAGTTGACAAGCAGGCAACAGTCAACACTCGCTCTAACTTGAAACGATACAAAGGAACGATCTTCCACGGTCTTTTTGCTGCCTCTCTGCATGGCCAGGGCTTTCCTCGTGGCTGCTGGGGCTCTCCTCCGCCTCGTGCTGTATGGCCTGAAGCCCCAAAGAAAAGGCAAAACAAGAACAATGAATGCATCTCTTCTGGCCCTCTCTCTCGCTCTCTGTCTTTTTCACTCCAGCTCTTTGGCAGCTTTGCCTTGAAGACTCGCACCTGCACCTAGCACATGCTTCTCTAGCTTCACCAGTTTCACTGGCTCAACGAGCCTCGATAGCAGTGGCTGTTGCTGGCTGTCTGTAGCTGCATCAACAGTGCTTTGCAACCCGCCTGCGTGGTACCCAGACCCAGCCACTGCATTAGGGTGGCTGTGTGAAGCTGACAGGCCTGCGAGGGCGAGAGTTTGACGTTTTGAGGTCGTGCTGCCTCGCGTGTCTATTTGGTCAGAGTCAGAGATGGTATGTCCTAGCCTAGCCTGTGCCTCATAGCGCAGGCTGCGTAGGCATGCTTCTCATGTCACATTGCAAATCAGGAGTTGTGGCTTGCTTTTCCAAGCCTTAAGTTAAACCGCTCTGGCAACTGCACACCAATCAACAGTCGACCCAAACGCGAGCAAGGTTGCCTGAGACTTTCGGAGTGGTGGTGTCTCGCTGAAAGGCTGTTGCCACAAAGCCTGCCGTTCATGAAATGCATTTTGAGCCGTCGTGCGCATTTCAAACTAGTCAGCCCCGCAGCAGCAGACAGGTCTGGAGTCGTGCGCTCCAAAGGCCGTTGCTGGAGGGCCTTCGAGAAAGCGCCCTGTCGCGCGCACGACTTCTGGCAATCGGCAAAGGCGCCTCTCGAAGCAAAGCCTGTACAAAGCCCAGTGCTCAGACAGGCGAAAACCAGAGGCACAAATCTGCATAAGAGTTGCAATGGACAAAATGAGGCACCTCAATTTGACTACATGGGCCCTGCCCGTCCTCAGCCAGCGGTGCGCAACTGCAAACAGCGTCAGACCAATGGAAGCTCGATGAGCTCACCTAGCATGTGCAATGCGCTTCAGTCCATGCCGGCAGCTCATGATGCATGTGCCACATTGCTGGCTTAACAAAGTTCACAGTTCGGCCGAACCTCCAAGATCCCCTTGCCAAACATCAGCAGTGGGCAAGAGCACAGCGGATAGCTTACCTGCCCAGAGGGGCTGTTATGAAGCATGCGGTACTCACTTGCATGTTGCCGGCGACATTCATCAGGGCAAAAATGAGACTGCCTGGATGCACGACATTAAGCTGCCAAGTGGTAGTACGTCTTGCTTGGCAAGTACATTGCTCGTGATGGCCTGGAAACAGCGAGCTGATCTGTAAATTTTATTCAGCAGATCTGAAAAGTTATACTTTCCAATTTCAGGTGGTTTGCCACTTTGAACAAAAGGATAAGTAGTCAGACGACCAGGGCGTTGATGAATCAGTCTCTGGCCCAGCTAGCTAGCTTCGTAGCTGCATGTCCAGATCCAGTGCTTGCTGCATGAACATCGAGTGACAAGAATTGCATGAATGTGATAAGAGCTTCTTGAAGTCACACCCACGACCAAGTGCCGCACCAGAGCTTCAACGTTAGCACCTGCACTCTGCCGACAGCTCACGTGTACCTTTAGATTTTCGGGCAAATGAATCGAGAAAACAATTGGTTTGGAAAGGAAGGACAAAGCAAGGTCACCTACTTCCTGCCAGCTGCCTTGAACGAGCGTCAAGACGCTGGCCTGGAGTAGAACTCTTGCAGCAAATCACAATGAGTTCTGCAGCGCAGCTCAGCATCTGCATGCGGGCTGGGCTACTCCTCAGCAAATGCATTGCAGCATTAGCCAGGCAGCCAAGGCAAAAGTGGTCCCACATACAACTATACAGACTATACAAGCACCCTGAAAGGTGGCAGCCAACCGCTTTCGCCGAGGCAAGGATGACATCCGTTAACAAGGCACCACTGAAGCCCAGAGCTGCCAACCTAAAATTCATAGCCATCATAGCCATTAACAACCAACAACCCATGTCAGATGTGGGTCTGGCCTACCTGCGATTCATGCCCATGCAAGACTCAAGCCCATGAGAGTTCCTTAAAACGGCGCCTCTTGGTGCGCCGCAGAAAGATGTGACTAGAAAAGTGTTGTGAGTGTACCAATTGCATGTTCCTGGGAACGGTGCGCCTTTCAGCTGTCAGCAACTCAGTGAGCACAGTTGTTGCCCGCCCATCTCGATCAGCGAATTGTCCACAAATATTCGACTCAAAAAGGCCAAACAAGCGCACCACATGCCAAATCGCTCAAGACCCATTTAAAGCCAAAGCCTTCTGTGCGACCAACTGCTTCTGCGAGCTTGAGCATACAACGTTCTCTTCCGACACAGTTCCATGGAAATTGCGCACTGTTGAAAACAGAAGCCTTCCGCGAAGCTTCGGCCGACCTTCCGCGACTCTCTTGGCAAAATGAAATAGCGAGTAAAAAGCGACGTGTCCAAATAGCACTTGCCGCGAAACCCCACCAATGCTTACGGGAAAGGGGCGCCTATTGCTGGATCAACAGTCACTGCGCGGAAGCTGTGCCTGCGCGCTTAAGCTCCCGGCCGCAGGGTATGCAAACCGTCCTCAATTTGCCCCACCAAACGCACCTCAGCGTCCACGCATCCGTGCACAATAAACGTGCCAGCACCTCGGCAATTTCTGCAACTGCAGACTAGCGGCAGTTAAAGCGGCAGAATCTTCTTGTCGGCCTGAAACTGCAACCAATCGATTGACTGCTGCTACACAGGGCAGATAAACCATGCAGCCAGCCGCCTCTGCTGGAGCTGAGGCCATTTGCAATCGCTGCAAGGGCGCGGAACTCTTCACGGGCCTGCAGTGACAAAAAATCGAATAGGCCACAGCTCCAGCAGAATGGAAGATGCGGGAAAGCTCGGATATGAATCTAGGAAATGTAACAATGTGATTGAGAACACGTTTCTGCTCAAGTGGCATTGCGGTGCGGGACCTATCCTACGTGAGCCGCACTGTTGAAAAGGGCCTCTGGCCTGGTACGGGTGCGCAAGGCCCATTTCTGCCCTCCCGCGCATAGCCCAAGGTGCCCGTGGTAGGGGCTGATAAGCAGAGGGAAGCAAGTCTGATCCACCGAATCAGTCACGAGATTGATCGAACTGGGAGACGCCGCCTTTCTGTCACGATCAGGCATCTCACAGCCTCCTCGCGCATTTTCAGGGCGAAGATCTTGTGCGCCTTGTTGGGAGCATTTCTCAAAGCCGAGAGCACGGAGCTTCACTGCTAGCTTCTCCATCTCTCTCTCCTCACTCTCCGACAAGTTTGCTTTCATCGCAACTCTCCCACAATCTTCGTTGTCCCCTGCTGGAGGACCTCCTTCGCGGCTATGAAGGGCAATAGTGGTGCTCCGGCGTCACCGGCGCCACCTCCACGGCTGGTGTTCGAACTTGAGCATGTCGGTGGGGAGACAGCGCTGTAGCTGCTTTTTGCTGAGGAAAACGTCTGGCTCAAGGTCCAGGTCCATGCGGCTTCCACTGCCACGGATCCGGCTCCTGCCACGGATCCACGGCGGCCAACCTGCAGGCTCCGCTACCACTGTAAGAACAAGCCACCCCCCCCCCAAAAAAAAAAGGAAGCCTATAGTGAACCAAACGCACCGCAGCGCAGACGGTTGCCCAAGGCTTGCAAAGAGATCACGCGCCGATTCAATTACGCACCACGAAGAAGACAGCAAGCTTGCCTGCAGCAATTGGTAAGCTTTGAAGGCGCAACACTTGGAAGGGCTGGTTCTCTGGTTCCCGCTGATCAGATCATGCTGCACTATCCTAGTTTGGCTCGCCTGCGCCTGGAAACTTGCTTTTTCCACCCCTAGGATGCCTGATTGACAGGAGCGCCAGTCCGCAAGCACCACTCCTTGCTGCAAAGACCCTGCTGGAGGCAGTGCTTCCAGCCAGGAGTGCCAGCAGGAAAGGACACGATTGGGTTGTAGTCAAGTTATAGCTATCACCGTCCTGCCACCCACGATCTGGTCCTGCCCGCTTTCATCCTTGGCATAAGGAGACGCCTTGGCGCAAAAAGTCCACCACTTCGGCCTGCTCCAGCCGGGCCACGCATATGCCTGCACCTGCAAGGGGCCTTTGTGGGAATTGACTGCGTCTGATCTTCCACGTCTCCTGCTACGCGGCTAGGCCCCGAGAATGCAGGACACGGGCCCACTCGCGCATAGAAAATCTCATTCTTAGACTTGACGCATCTCTTCCCTGGCCCGCTTCCCAGTGGACCAGGGCCAGGCCCCCGGGTGCCCACGGCATCCATAGGCATCGTCTTGAAGCCCTTGGGCTCCCTGCAGAATGATGGGAGCCTGCTGAAGTCCACCACGACGAATGACACAGAGGAGGATTGAGACAAATTGAGACAGATTTGCTCCAACCAAATGAGGAAAAGTATGAAAGCCAGTCAAGTTAGACACCAGGACGAGCTTGGATTCAAAGGCACAGTGGCCGTGCTTGAACTGACATTCATTAAGAACGCTTCCTCACCATAGCTTCCTAAATTGAGGTTGACACTGAACCTGCCGCCGAGGCAGCTTGAAGTTGAGCTGTTCAATTAATCAAGCCCATCGCGGTCCTTTCATGGTTACCTGCTGTGAAATAAAGCGGCCACAATCAGCCTCCATCCTTGCCGAGTCGCAGCCTTGGCAATGGCGCCGAGGGCAGATGGCGACTCGCGTAATTGCGGTGGTGCCTGTCTGCCGTCCACGCAGGGGTGGAGCTACCGCCGCATGCCTACATGCCTGCCCGCGACCCAACATCCCAACCTCTGAGCAAGATGTCGCTGGCCACAGCTGGCTGGCAATACTCTGCGGGAGCTCCTGCTAAGGTCAGAACACATAGCTAAGATGACTAACATAGCTACCACCGCTGACACAACTGACATAGACCATGCATCAGCAAATCCTGAGAGAGCTCTGCTGGAGCCAACCGCCAGTCCACCTGCCATGCAATCCATCAAGAGCACTGCCCTTCAGCCTTGGCCGCGACCTCTTTTATCCAGGGCCCATCTTGCCCGGGACAAAGCTGGCAAAGAACCTGAGCAAAAAATGCAACGATGCTCAGCGTTTCTCAAACACGCACGGCCTCAAAGAAACTGATCGGCCTGGTCCTACGGAAGGAACAAGTTGCACAACGCAAGTCTGATGAGGTACGAGCAAGTGGATTCCTGATCCGAGCTTTCAAACGCGGAGACACCAGAGATGCTGATGGAAAGGTTCCTTGCAAGTCGGGCCATTGGTTGCTGGATGGCTGGCTGGCCTGCCACTATGTCCTATGTTGTCTGGGCCATCATGTAGGCAAGTGCCAGCCTGGAGCTCCACCATGATGAGCCTGCCAGCTGGCCAGGTGGGCACTAGCACTGAAATGCTCACCGATCTTTTGCCATTGGCCATGTGCAAATCATTGGCTGGGACCTATCTGCCAGCGCAGCAGTGACGAGCTGGGGCCGCTCGTGCAATGCCAACACCTTGCACCGTGAACCAGCAAAGCACGCATACAACGCAATGTGAATCTGTCCCTCTAGGAGTGCGGGCTCTAGGTCTGCAAAGCGGCTTAGCTGCCCAAGCAGAGACCCCGAACGGCGTTGATAGTAGAAGAACTCCTCGTTTGCAGTGAGTCCACTCACTGCTGCGCGACCACATTGTCTGTTTTTGCCGGGCAGCCCGAAGATTCCAGGTCTCTTGCCTCGTGTTGGCTGGGACAAAGTCCATATTGTTATTTCATTTCTCGGGGAAGCTCTTTGGCCAAAGCTGTGCCTCGGAAAAAACCCGCCTTCAACCAGCTGATGGATAGCAGCCTTCCACCACCAGCGTAGGCAGCGCGCACATCCAACCAAGCCAACAGCTGGGCACGGCCTGGCCGGCACTGACGGCTGGAAATAGCTGTGGTCTCATGCCAGGCCTCCATCCAGCAGAACAACCCACACAGCAAAAGGCGCGGCCAGTGCCAAGCAGCTTCCTCGCACAGCTGGGTTATTCTTATTGTGCAACTGCAGCTTCTTGACTTGTTTGGACTTCATGTAAACCATGTGCGTGTGCCCACGCCTGCAAGCTGCAACGGTTGCCCATCCTCAATATCATTGCTTTGGACTTCCCCCTTCCACTTGGAAGAAGCAAATCCTAAAACGAATTCACAACCGAAGCCAGAACGCAAGCTGAGCTGTCAACCCATCGAAAGTCGACAAGCTCCATAGGACCGCAGCTGGGTATGGAAGCAACCGCCCCACCCGCCTCAGACAACAGTCTGCAAATGGTTCGGTATTTTACGGTATTATCCAAAGCATGACCGCTTTGAGCTGGGAGTCACGAACAGCTAAGTGCTGCTCCTCAAAGCGAAGTGGACCTCCGTCTAGCCTGCTCCCCCAGAACAGCCTTGGCTAGTTTACTGATTCATTGGAAAGCTAGAGTTGGACTCAGCGTCAGACACCAAGTCTGAATCTGCATGTCCAATCCTGAATTGAGAAGCAACAGGGCACGTCTTTCACAGAGTGCCTAGTTTGCCTCATGGCTTGATATTTGATCAAATGTGCCGCAGGCCAGGTCTGCGGCACTCGTTCAACACCCTCTGCAGTGGCCGAGGCAGCTGGTTGAAGAACTCCACAAGGTGCAGATGGCAGAGTTGCATGGCACGTCCGCATCGAGCCTTCCCTGCCCAAGACATGCGAGTTCACCATACGAGACGCATGCCGTGCAAGTGCATGGTCATGCACGCCACAGCGCCTGCAAAGCCACACTATTCTTGAAGAAGTGAAGCAGGCATCCACCGCCATGATCCGAGCAATGAGCTCTCCCTGATTCTAAACAATAAGGCAACGCGGCCAAGTCTCAACTCTTGCGCCTCCGCATTGACCAACCATACAGCATTGGTGCCGTCAGCCTCATGTGGATTTCGGCTGTAAATGTGGATTCCGTACATACCTGCCTGAGACACTGCAAGCAACAATTGAGTGATGCTACTTGGCAAGCGCAAAACCTTGGCAAACACAGACAGTGGCTGATTAACACCCTGCTTGAGCGATATGTGGTGTGTCAAAGGATAAGCTTGCCACATCCAAAATGCCCAATGGTTGATCAGCCTGCAAGTCATCACAAGCAACGCCTAGTCGTTAGATTTGGCCAGGCGCGGATGCTTCCCAAAAGCAAAACGTCCTGCATGGGGGACGTGAGTGGCCAGCAAACAGGGCACACCATCTCAGAATCTCTCCCATGCTCTGGGCCCTGGTCTTCTTCCCCCTGCTTTGATTGGCTGGCAAACACGCAGTGGCGCTGCCACATTTTCATGCAGAACGAACGCGTGGGAATGCCCATGTTGAAAATCTCGCGAAGCAAAAAGCCTTCATTAGTTGCCTTCCATTTGGAGGGCAGTGACAAATGTCCAACCTCCACTTTTCGGAGCGAGGTTGTGGCAAATCATAATTTGCCGCATGAGGGATGGTCTCAAATGGAAAATGTGGTCTGATGATGGTGAAGCACCTTCAAGACCGACCTTGACCGTGCAAGCTGAAAAGGAGTATTCCCACGCTCGTTCATTACATCGGGGTCCGCTCTTGCATCAAGAAGCAGCTGCACTAATTCATCTGCGCCGTTGAAGCAAGCAAACCCCAAGGGAGTTGTGGACCATTCTGCAAACATGTGCACGAGGGGCGGGGCCCTACCACCAGCGACCCTCACGATGACCCTGCACATCAACTCCCCTGCTCGCCAAGCTCCAGAGCTTCGGTACTGAATGTTTGCATCAGCCCTGGCCTCCAGAAGCAATGCCGCGACCTCCAGGCAATAGCCACCCATGGAAGCCCGGGAGCCGAGGCTGCTCAACGGATGTGCACTGGCAAGGGCACATTCGCTCGGATTTGCATGCGCGCCATGCTTCAGAAGGGTGGCGATTACGGATGGAGGCGTGGCACGGGCGCATGCCAATGTGAGGGGTGACACCCTGCCTGATCCGCTTTGCTGGTTCACATCTGCGCGGTGCTGGAGTAAAAGTTCCACTAGTTGCGATGATGCGCAAAATCCCAACACCGGATTGCCAAGGCCTGTGGTGCTATGGACATTTGCGTTGTGTTCCAAGAGGGTTGTGACAACACCAATGCTTCGCCAGCTTAGCCACAATGCAAGCATCAAAGGTGACATTGCTTCGACTATGTACACTTCGGGAAGGGGGTCAACCCACCTGTTCACGTCCAGCCCTGCATTGCAAAGGATCTTCAGCAGCTCCTCGTCGCCAGCCAGAACAGCACAAACGATCGGAGACATGCAGTTGATTCTCTTGGCGGATTCCAGGGACTTGAACCTAAAGTCCGACAGGAACTCTTGAAGAGTGCGCCGCCTGAGAGGTCGCCCAAGTATTGTGTCATACCTGGCGACAAAGAAGCGGAAGACATCCAACTTCCTGGAGTTGCTCAAATATCGAATCTTGCTGCTCACAGCCATCTTGACAACCTGAAAGATGCGTCTGCGATCCTCCTCATAGGTAAAGTCCCCTTCATGAGGTGGCAGATCAATCCAAGTGATCGGCATAGCAAACTCGATTTTGTCAGGGGCTGAAATAACCACCACCGGCAGTGTGGCTTTGGTGGACATGGACATCATTTTGCACCAGAGCTCAAGTCTACACCACCCCCTCGAGGACCAGCTCCCAAAGCTGCATTTCAGCCCAGTGACAGTGTGCCGGCATCTTGGCACAAGCACCACAAACAAGTCACACTTCTCTACAAAGCCCGGGATCATTTGGATGAAACTATCTTGGCTCACTATGCTTCCTGACGCAGCGCAAGATGGGCTGTTTCCATCCTGGCTTCCACCAAAGGAGTCCTCTTGGACAGGCTCTGGTTGGAGTGTGCGCTGAGGGATGCTAAACCAATCCAGCCAGATGTGGGCCTCCTTAAGGCGAGACCGGTGCCGCTTGCTCAAAAATGCTCGGTGACCATAGAACTGCGCATAGAGATCCATTTCAATAGTGCCGCCTGCCAGAAGATTCTGCAAGGCAGCTTGAAGCAAACTCAGTTGCTCACGTTCAGGGTCTGGATGAGCAACTCCCAGCCATTCGTGGGACACGAAAATGCAGAAGAAGGCCTCCTGTTGACGTACTAGCAGTCCTCTTGATAACAGCTCCTCGTGGGAGGGCATCGTTTCAAAGCCCAGAAAATCGGAGATTCTCACCACCCACATGGCCGGCCCGGCCAGGCTTGACGGGACCCAGGACAGTGAAGCCATGAAAATCAAGAAACATGACAGGCGGGGCAATCAACTAACTCAAGTTTGAGCCGACCGTGGCGCTTGCCTGCTCGCAGCAGGAGTAAGCCAACAAAACCCGCGGTCCGCACATCCAAGCGCTCCGGCCTCTGGCAGTGGCAAAGCCAGTGTGCGACCATTTGACGCCTAGCAAGTGCTGCAAAAGCAAAGCAAATCATGCACACACCCGCGCACACAATGAAAAATGATGCGCACCTTGTAGCAACGACAGGCAGAGCCGCTCACAAAGAAAATATCTCCGCCCGCAGGCTGAGTTGCATCACCTGCCACCCAGGCGGTAACAAATCTGCTGGCTTCAGCAACGGTAAGCCGCATCCGGTTACAAAACCAATCTCGGTAGCTTTCTGCTCCCCTGCTAAAAGTTTAACTTTTGGTGGTTTATTGGAAACCCATTAGTTGGCAAAAAGTCAAAGCCCTAACATCCAAGCAAAATGCACCAAAGCAATGAAGTGCAGCACCGTCCTGTAAAAGCTGGCGGAAGATCGCGGCTGCGGGTGCGGCCTGCATGAACATTGCCCAAAGGCCATTGTCTAAGCAAAGCTCTCAGGTGCGAACCAGCGAACGGGGGCATTAGATCTGCGGAGCAACCCCCGGACTCCAGGACTGCTGCGACATCGAGCCAAGCAACCTGAACAAATCGCCAACTTCAAACTGCTCAACCTTCAAAGCACATATGAAAAAATATGATAGCCTCTGCAGTGCTGCGAGAACCAGTCCCAACTAGAAGGTACAACGACCTCAGATCCGGCGTGGACCAAGTCATCCAAGCTACCTCTTGTCTCTTGTCCCCAACCTACCCAACGCAAGTTGCTCAGGAAAAACATAATGTGGAGAATCGAGGAATTGCAATGGACGACCCTGGTCAGCCACGCTCAAGAGAGAGCCTCGGTTTGCTTTGACGCGACCAGCAACCACGCATGAGCAGCACCCAAAATACGCTGCTGTTGTCGGCCGGGCAAATATCCAAATACCAGAAGCCCCGTGTTTGCTTCAGCTGCGAGCTTCCTGCTGGGAAGCCGCCAGACAGTGTGGCAAATGGCAGACTCAGGGAGGCCTCCAACGCCTAGCTAACTCCTACGTGCTCAGAGCGCCCCCCACGATCAACGCCAAGCTAACACCTGGTGCTCAGCAGTGCCCTGCCTGCCCTGCCGTGCCCGTGCCCTGCCCTGCCGTGCTCTGCCCTGCCGTGCCCTGCCCTGCGCAAAGCCACCCCCGCACTACCCTTGCCTGCCGGCAGTGGTCTCACTTGCGCACGTAATCCGCGACTCACTTGCGCACGTTGGCCGTTCAGCACTAAATGGCATGCTCAAGCAGGCCCGCCCAGCACTACGCACATGCCGCGCCGGCCACATAATAAGCACGCCCGCTCGACGCTGCACACATGCCTGCCAAAATGCAAGCACACGCGCTCAAGCGCGCCGCTCAGCGCTGCAGACATGCTAAACGCACCCGCTCAAGCGCGCCCGCAGGCCTGCCAAATGATAAGGGCACCCGCGCAAATGCACCGGCCAAGCACTGAAGTGCACCGTTCAGCACCGCATGGTAGGAACGCCCACAAGCGCGCACGCTCAGCACTGCACATGCCTGCCAAATGAGCACTGCACACATGTCAGCAAAAAAATGTAGGAACACTCGGTCCTGTCAAATGGTAACTCTCGCGCAAGTGCGCCCGCTCAGCACTGCACACATGCCTGCCAAATGGTCAGAACACTCGCTCAACCTCGGCACTGCACCACCTGCCACCTGCCAGCCAACATGATAAGAAAATCCGGTCAAGCGCGCCTGCTCAGTCACGCACACATGCCTGCAAGCCAAATGGTCAGAGCTGCTGAGCGGGTGCGCTTGAGCGGGTGTTCGTACCAGTTGGCTGCAAGTGCTCCTTCATGCGCGCGCTGGACAACCAAACGCCAGACTGCCGGCTGCACGAGGTCCTCGAATTTAAGGCAGAGGTAGGCGACCTGACGGTGGTGACCGGTAGATGGCGAAATTGTTGTCCACATAGCCCTCTAAGAAAACATGGTGATGGCGGCACCATAGACCATTCACTCGCCGCCAAAGGACTTCACGGCACAACGCAGATGTGGCTGAGAGCAGGGCTGAGTTGGGAACTGATGGCGGCGCCGTGAACTTGGCGCAGGACGACGCGGCCGACCTGAACTTACATCGCCTGGAAACTGGACTGGACAATGGAGGCAGTGTCGTCAAAATCAATGAGCTGAGTGGTTGGTGTGCGAGCATAAGCAGCGCTCAGCGGGCGCTTGAGCGAATGTTCTGACAATTTGGCCGGCATGTGTGCAGCGCTGGGCGGGCGCTCTTGAGCGAGTGTTCTTACCGTTTCGCTGACATGTGCGCAGTGCTGAGCGAGGACGCTTGAGCGAATGTGCTTACCATTCGGCCGGCATGCGCGCAGTGTTGCGCGAGCGCGCTTGGTGAGTGTTCTAACCAGCTGACAGCAGGTGCGCAGCACTGAGCACGCTTGAGCTACCATTTGGCCGCCGGCTCAGCACTGCGCTCCTTTCATTCGTACTCACGCCTGCAAAGCTAGACACAAAAAGCCTCGCCCAAGCCACAAGAGCTTTTCCGGGCCACTTACTGAAGACACCACCCCCCTTTACTCACGCAAGCCACAGTGCACCCCTTAGCCCTCCCACTGAAAACATGAACTCCTTTCTGCAAAGCACGGAGCGTCCCTCTGGACGCTTCTTTTTGTAGGCTACGCAAGACACGAACCCCGTCATGCAAAATACGCAGTGTCCCTCTGGCCGCTTGCTGAATACGCGAACCGCTTCATGCAAAACACGCGGCGCTTCTTTGCCGCTTACCGAAGACACGAACCCCTTCATGCAAAACACGCAGCGTCCTCGCCGCTGACTGAGGAACGGGACCCCTTCATGCAAAACACGCAGCGTCCCTCGCCGCTGACTGAGGATACGGACCCCTTCATGCAAAACACACCGCATCCCTGGCCGACATGCAAAACACGCAGCGGCCCTCGATCGCTGAAGACACGAGCCCTTGCCTACAAGAGCCCTCGCCTGAGCCCCTCTGCTCGCCCAATGGCAACCCCGACACATCTTGCAAAGCGACTCCATGGCCACTCACTGATGCGCACACGGGGCATCCATCTGGCCGCTTCGCACGAATTGATTGATGCTCCGCAGAAGCACGCAGCTTACTTACTGCTTCAAATCCATGTCCTCGCAGCCCCACTGCCCCACGTGTACAAGCGAGTCAGGGAGGTACGTGTACAAGCGAGTAACGGTCGACGTGTAAAAGCGAGGCCCGTGCCTTGCCTGCCTGCCCGCCTGCCCGCCTGCCCGCCTGCCCACCTGTTTTGGTCAGCTGAAGCTGCTGCCCGCCTGCCTTCCTGCATTCCTGCCTGCTGCCTGCCTTGGTCGGCCTGCCTTGGTTGGCTGGAGCGGCAAAATGAGCTCCAATCTTAACGACCCCATGCGACGGGTAGCGACAAATCTTCAGCTTGCAGCATCAGAGCACAACCGCATGCGAAGGCCGGGTCCAATGATGTGCATAGGATCCGTCAGGCAAGCCATGCAAAGCATGTGGGTGGGCCCCAACTTGTCCACGGTGATCAAACCGAAATTGATGCGTGGCCCTCTTCAGGTTGGCGTGCAAGATGTTTGGCCCCTGCTCCGCAACACGCGAGGCAGTGCTCACTACGCACAATAGAGGATGATATCTTGCGGCCAGCTCTCGGCCCTGCTGCTGCCACAGGCTCGCACACAAATAGGATGCAATGACGGCTTCCAAACTGCATTGTAGCAAGAACCGATGATACAGAGTCACTACAAAGGCTATTCCATTCGCTATATTCCAACATCAGGAGAGCATTGCTGTTGACCGGACGATGGCAAACCCTCCCAGTTCTCAAGGCGCAGGCCCAGACAGCGCAAATGTCCGCGCCGATGCAATCTGGAGCTCCCGAAGTCACTGTCGCATATCGAAAGGCCCGTTCCCGTTCTGGCCTCGAACGGGCAGCGGCCAGGAATGACCCGCAACGGCCTAGGCGTCGCAGAAGCCGTGCCGACTCACATCCCATGTCTGAGCTTGTGGCGTCAAAGCTTTCTGCCTGAATCGCTTCACCATTGAGCAAAAGCAACCATCAAGCAACCATCAAGCAACCAATCAGGAACCAACGTTCAACAAGCAACAAGCACCTTGCCGACCAAATGGTCAAATCGCTGAAGCTGTCGAGGGCCAGTATGACGTGTCCAGTGCCTGGAGGTCCCATGTTGTTTCACTGCCGCTCCAGACGATCTAGCCTCCCGCTCGACTTCCAGCTATTGCCACCACACGTAGAATTCTCGTCGGCGATGTAGTTAAAGCAAAGTGAGAGCATCCAAGCCTAAATCTGCGTCAGAAATCGGGCAGAACCCTGCCTGTGGCGAGGGCCACTGCCAGTTCCAACCTACTCTGAGCCTCTGAGCTTTGAGTTTCACCTTCCAAACTCGCTCAAGTTAGCTTGCAATGGACAGGAAATCTTGCTAGCTGAATCAGCCAAGGCAAGGGCGCAGGCATTGGCCCAGACCTTGCCATTTACCACGTGGCTGACGTGTCAGCTCTCGCGTATATAGTCGGCAGCATTGCCAAACATGTTGCGTTGTTGCCATTGTTGATGCTCTGCTTGTGCTGCCTGTTCCGTTCTTGCCAACCCAAAAAAAATACACCAGCATAGACCCCAGATAGCACCCCAAAACAGCACCTGCACCAGCACCCCAAACTGCATGACCCCCTAGCGCCATGCTGGCAAGTCGCCGCGAACAGCACTGCCACCAATCTCATAAAAATGCGCCCGCACCGTCACCAGCACCTCAAACAGCCCCTAACAGAATCCAAAGCAGCACCTATGGTCAATATTGCAAAACTGCGCCCGAGGCGTCACCTGCACGCATGCCCCCTAGCACCCGGCCATCTATCTCGCAAAAATGCGCCCGCACCGTCACAGCACGCCAAAACTACACGCGCTCACCCTGCCATCAATCTTTCAAGAATGCGGCCGCACCGTCACAAGAAGCACAAACAGCTCCCCAAACAGCACACCTTCACAGCATCTGCGCCAGCACCCCAACGGCACGCCCTCTAGCACCCAGCCGGCAATCTCGCAAATCACTTTCCCCGCTTTATTAGAAGTTAGAATCCCTATAGCTTTCAGCTATCTGGGGGGGGGAGGGGGAAAAAAACGGCCTTGAGCGAGAAGTGGCGCTTTGAGAATCCTCCAGGGCTCAAAAACCTGGTTGCCACGGAAAGCTGTGCATGGCAAAGCTCGTCCTTCACAGTGTCCCGGGAAGTGTGCCAAACACTGAGCCTGGGTTCAGCCAAAGTGTCAGGCAGCATGGCAGGGCTTAGGTGGCAACAGGCTTCCAGGTCCGCCAGTGCCAGACCCGGCACAGGCAACCAGGAGCCCCTTGGCCAGACTCGCATGGCGACAGCAGAACATCGGCCACCGAGAAGCTGGCATCGCCATCTGCGCTGGGAAGAGCAAATGCATCACCAACACTGATATCACCAGCACCTTCGCACACAACTGCGGTACGTGCATGTACGCTTCCGCAGGTTCATTTGCACAGGACCAAGCCATGCAAACCAAGGTGGCTTGACAAGTCAAACGGACACAAACGCACGTTAGCGCTTCTAGAAGGTGAGCACACCGCGCATTTCAACGCCCAGCCAAGGTCCAACAAGTTGAAAACTGATGGAAATTGCTAAGCACATTGTAGAACATTGCGGTGTGTTTGAAAACTGCTTGAAAACTGCTCAAACACGGATTTAACATTGTTCGAAATGTGTTTGAAACTTACTGAAAGCTGCTTGGACATGATTGGCCTTTGTTGGAAAGTGATGAACACTTTCGACCTGGACATTTTTGGAACCCAGCCCGAGCAGGGCAGCAGTTTCAGAAGCTATCCATATTGTTTGGAACCTGCCTCGAGGTTTGGAGCCGGTGCGAGGCGGAGTCTGGCTGCGATCTCTTCCTAGCAAGCGCCCCACCTCAACATAGCAGACATAGCATCTGCCAATGCCGCAGCATGCAGTGTGCGTCGTACCACGCGTGCCAAAGACTCGTCATCCTAGTAAACTTTGCTTGGGCAGCTGCAGTTGCCCTGAAGCCAGCTGCGGGGCCGTTCTGCACAACAGCCCCGGAGATCTCCAGCAACTGCACCTTCGGAATTTCACGAAGCCTATCTCCCATCCCTCTTTGTCTGAGGGCAGTGCCAGTGAGAGGTTCAGGCGCTGAACCTGCATCGCAAAACTGGCAGTGCAAGGAGTGGACTGTACGGGGTGCAGCTGAACATACGCGGAAAGCAAAGCAGCAAATGATGCTATTAAGCATGCAAGACTGTGGGTGAGCCAAGGAAGCGGAATCACCGTGCGCAACATCTAGAAACCCAGCGCAGCAAGAATGCAAAGGAAATCAGAAATGCACAAGGAGCACATACGGATTGTATGCGAAGAAGACGAGAATGCAATGAGAAAAACGGTCCAGCTTTCACACGTCACATTCCCAGGCCGGCAAGAGCCAAAATTATTTGGCCTGACCCTTGTGGATGACAGTACCTGAGCTTGCACCGAGCTTTCTAGTTCATCCAAAATCCAGCTTTTGCTGAGGCACAGGAATACAAGAGTAGTTGGCCAGTGGAGCATCCAACTAGCAGCGCTGATTCTTCCTGATCACAGATAGATCTACAACATTCCCACTCCTAAGCACAAGTGCAAAATGATGGCACAAATGGCGCAAATGCGATAAATGCAATGATTTGCAATGTGTCGCATCTCCTGAGGGTATGCCATCACCATGGAGGCTGCGAACCCCTTCGGAAGCTCGAAAGCCTCACAAAGGGCTCGGGGACCAGTGCATTCCAAGGTCAAGGACTGTGTGCGCACACTTCGCCGGCCAGAACCAAATGTTTAAAGAGCCCATCCAAGACTGGGTCAATCCAAAGGCGGCCGCGCCTATTTCTGTTTGGAGCTGTTCCCTGTGGCGGGGTTCCGTACCACACCAAGGCCATCAGAGCGCGCGTGCGGACACCAATTAATCCGCTCGCTTTCCCCACCAAAATCATCAGCGCGCAAGCAGGGCGTGACCAAAATGCTGCACGCACGCAACCAACGGACAAATGGAGGCAAGAGAAATTACCACAAGTACACTCTAGCCTGAAAAGTGCAGTGCCCGTGCTTCCAGACTCGCACGCAAGGCGCAGTCGCGTGAGCCAATCAGCCAGAAGGCCTCACTTGGCTCTTGCGGCATTGATCAGTAAAACTAGTAAAACAGTGCGGCGATTCTTGCCGACACACTTGCCGACAATTCCGATGCTAGGTCGTCTGTGATTCAACTTGAGCTCGGGGCCCTCCAGTTCTTTCTGCGAGTCCGCTTCAGCAGAAAAATGAAGGAAGAGCTCCATCGCGTTCCGGGCCAGGTCCAGGCGGAGAAAGAGCAAGAATTCTCTCTCTGTCTCTCTCTCTCGGTCGTTGCATCGTAAGAATTGTCGGGTACAAGTTATAGCTCGTGGCGTGGGCGCAAGAGAGAGAGATTCGTGTTCAAGCCTCTGTTTGACAGCCTGGTCCACAATGGTTTTGACCAGCGCAAAGGCTTCACGCAGCCGGGCCATGAACTCGTGCAAGCACCCCCGCCCCGCACAGGAGAGCGCAAAAAGACAAGGCCCGGGTTCGCACGCCCTGTCAAGCACGCCTAGACGCACGTGAGATGCGTTGACTGCTGGGCAGGGTGGAGGCTGGCCTGGGGAAGAGCTGGAGATGAATGGGTGCTTATCAAGTCTGTGAAAAATAATATTCTCAGTCGGGTCAAAGCTGAAGCTGCCAGAGCCACATCAAAACCCACGCTGTACAGTAAAACACTTGACCTTCTGGAGCGCGAGTGTCCAAAACGTGTGGTTTGCACAATGTACCCACAAGATTCCGTGAACATGCCTCCAGCTTCCGGTCACACACAACCCCTATCCCCTCACAAACCCAGGCATCCAGCCTTGACACCCGAGTTGGCGGCGCCTGGTATTGTCTGGTTGAACTTTGCATTTTGCTCCAAGAGAAAAACACCAATCAGGATAAAGCGCACGCTGCTTTGCAAATACAACTGCGTGTAGACAATGGGGCGTGCTGATTACCCTGTCCTGAAGCATGTCCAACACTTGCTGCGTTCTCACAGTCTCTCCTATGGGGCCATTTTCTCAAATGAGCCCGCCTTCAAGTTCCACAAGACCAAGCTTAGGACCTGGCCCGCGCACCCGGGCAGTCAGGGACTTTCCAAGCCATATTGCCAAGTTCCCACGGCTCTTCATGACAAGGATGCAAAAACTGCGAGTTCTACCTGGACTACTTGCAAACCTGCAAGCTGTTGGAAAACATGATTTAGAAGGTGCCTGCAGCCACCACTGCCCAAGCGAGCGGCTGGACAACAGCAATCGCTGCTCCAGCTGCATGGCCGTCACTCACCTGACACTGACAACAAAGCTGCGGCCAATTGCGAATATTGACTGTTGAAAAGCCCCCTTGTCTTGCCTCAGGGAATGTTGCCAAAACTGACCTGCAGTGTGCGCAGGCGAGGCAAAGGGGTCATCAAACCTTCACAGGATCTGAGGCAAATGCTCCACTCCAAGATTCTGCAAACTGGCGGCCAAGAGATGGCCAGAAGAGAGGAGAATCAGCAAGCACTCTGCTGCCTAGACAATGGCAGTGGCTGAGCAAGGCTTTCTCAGCTCAGTGGCCCAGGCGCCTCCAAAGACACCAAGGCCATTCCAATGGGGCGCGGCGCCACCCCAAAGCTCAGGCCAAGCGTGTCCTCAGATCTTTGTGGCAGAGAGTGCGATCAAATTGTGAAGAGATCAGCGGTGAGAACACGCCGCATTGCAAGAAAACCGAGGCATCGGCTTTGCTCTTTTTCGCCGGCTGCGGCAAGCCAGATATGTCCTCAGCTAGGTATGGCATGCCAAATGGCAAATCAAGGACTTGTGTTGAGTTGTGAGCCGTCCACCGGCTGTCCTGGCAAGCCAGTGTGCACAAAACACGGCCCTTGAGCCCCCAAAGGAGCAGCCACCACGCGGTGACCTTGTTTTTGATCAAGACCGTTCAGCGGCTCGGTGCGCGTCGGAAAAGTGTGTGCGTCTGTGTCTCTGTTTGTGCGTCTGCGTGCGTGCATGTGTGTGTGTGTGTGGGTGAGGGCGTGGGGAGGGTTGGGGAGCAGGTGCAAGCGCCCGGGCGGACGGAAAGGCTGGCGCGGGCGCGAGTGCGCCTCTTTCGTGGGAGCGCGCTCAAACACGCACTTGTGCACTTGTGCATGTACGTGTCACTGCCGGTGTCTGTATGTGTGCGTGTTTATTTGCGTCTGCATGTTTGTGTGTGTGTGTGTGTCTTTGCGCGCGCGCGTGCCTGTGCGTGCGCGCAACATGCGAAAAGGTACGCGCGCGGGCGTGGCACGCTCCCGTGCGCGCACGCGCGCTCTTGCGTGCGCTCGCGCGTGGAGCACACGCACGTGCATATGCGTACGCGCGCAGGCGCCTGCGTGCGCTACAGGCTTGCACGCTTGCCTTCGTGCCTGCGAGCGTGCTATCGCGGGTTTGTGTGTGCGTGCGTTTGTGTGTGCGTCTGGGTGTTCGAGTCTTCCCGTGCATTTGTGCGCGTATGAGCGTTTGCGCGCGCTCACCATGGGTGTGCGCACGCGTGTGCCTGCGTGCGATTTTCTGTGCGTATGTGTGTGTGCTTATGCTTTGTATGTGTGTTGTGTATGCGTCTGTGTGTTCGTGTGTGTGTGTGTGTATGTCTATGCTTGTGTGTGTGTGTGTTGCTGCGCTTGTGTGTGTGTATGTGTGTATGTGTGCTTTGTGCACTGTTGTGTTTGCGTGTTTGTGCGTGTGGTTCAGCGTGTTTGTAGGTGCGAGTGCTTATTCGTGCGTGTTCGTGCGTGTTGTGTGTGTGTGATGCAGGTGTGTGTGTGTGTATGCATGTCTGTGCGTCTGTGGGTGTATGTCTGTATGTCTGTGTGTCTGTGTGTCTGTTTGTCTGTGTGTCTGTGTGTCTGTGCGTCTGTGTGTCTGTGTAAATCTTTGTGTGTGTGTCTGTGTGTGTGGGTGTGCTTGTGTGTTTGTGTGTTTGTGTGTTTGTGTGTTTGTGTGTTTGTGTGTTTGTGTGTTTGTGTGCTTGTGCGTGTGTGTGTTTGAGTGTTTGTGTGTTTGTGTGTTTTGTGCTCGTGTGTTGGTGTGTTGGCGTGTTGGTCTGTTGGTGTGTTGGTGTGTTGGTGTGTTGGTGTGCTGGTGTGTTTGTGTGTTTGTGCGTGTGTCTGTGTGTGTGTCTGTGTGCTTGTGTGCTTGTGTGTTTGTGCGTTTGTGTGTTTGTGCGTTTGTGTGTCTGTGTGTCTGTGTGTCTGTGTGTCTCTTTGTGTGTGTGTTTGTGTGTTTGTGTGTCTGTGTGTTTGTGTGTTGGTGTGTTGGTGTGTTTGTGTTGGTGTGTTGGTGTGTTGGTGTGTTGGTGCGTTGGTGTGTTTGTGTGTTTGTGTGTGCGTTTGTGTGTTTGTGTGTTCGTGTGTTTGTGTGTGTGTTTGTGTGTTCGTGTGTTTGTGTGTGTTTGTGTGTTTGTATGTGTGTTTGTGTGTGTGTGTGTTTGTGTGTTTGTGTGCTTGTGTGCTTGTGTGGTTGTGTGTTTGTGTGTTTGTGTTTGTGTGTTTGTGTGTTTGTGTGTTTGTGTGTTTGTGTGTTTGTGTGTGCGTTTGTGTGTTTGTGTGTTCGTGTGTTTGTGTGTGTGTTTGTGTGTTTGTGTGTGTGTTTGTGTGTTTGTGTGTGTGTGTGTTTGTGTGTTTGTGTGCTTGTGTGCTTGTGTGTTTGTGTGTGTCTCTGCCTGTGTTTGTGTGTGTGTGTGTTTGTGTGTGTGCGTGTTTGTGTGCGTGTGTGCGTGTGTGCGTGTGTGCGTGTGTGCGTGTGTGCGTGTGTGCGTGTACGTGTGCGTGTGTGCGCGTACGTGTGCGTGTGTGTGGGCGTGTTCGTGGGCTGCGCGTGTGCGTGTGTGTGTGTGGGCGTGTGCGTGCGTGCTTGCGTGCGTGCGTGCGCGTGCGCGTGTGCGTGTGCGTGTGCGTACATATGTGTGTGCGTGTGGGTGGGTGTGTGTGTGTGTGAATGTGTGCGGTGTGTGTTTGTGTGTGTATCTGTGTCTCTGTGTGTGTGTGTGTCTGTGTGTCTGTGTCTGCATGTCTGTGTGTCTGTGTGTCTGTGTGTCTGTGTGTCTGTGTCTGTGTGTCTGTCTGTCTCTTTGTGTTCGTGTGTTTGTGTGTTTGTGTGTTTGTGTGTCTGTGTGTCTGTGTGTCTGTGTGTCTGTGTGTCTGTGTGTCTGTGTATCTGTGTGTCTGTGTGTCTGTGTGTCTGTGTGTCTGTGTGTCTGTGTGTCTGTGTGTCTGTGTCTCTCTTTGTGTGTGTGTTTGTGTGTTTGTGTGTCTGTGTGTTTGTGTGTTGGTGTGTTGGTGTGTTTGTGTTGGTGTGTTGGTGTGTTGGTGTGTTGGTGCGTTGGTGTGTTGGTGCGTTGGTGTGTTGGTGTGTTGGTCTGTTTGTGTGTTTGTGTTTGTGTTGGTGTGTTGGTGTGTTTGTGTGTTTGTGTGTTTGCGTTTGCGTAGGTGTGTTGGCGTGTTGGTGTGTCGGTGTGTTGGTGTGTTGGTGTGTGTGTGTGTGTCTCTGCCTGTGTTTGCGTGTGTGTGTGTGTGTGTGTTTGTGTGTGTGTGTGTGTGCGTGTTTGTTTGCGTGTGTGCGTGTGTGCGTGTGTGCGAGTGTGCGTGTACGTGTGCGTGTGTGTGGGCGTGTGCGTGGGCGTGCGCGTGTGCGTGTGTGTGTGTGTGGGCGTGTGCGTGCGTGCTTGCGTGCGTGCGTGCGCGTGCGCGTGTGCGTGTGCGTGTGCGTGTGCGTGCATATGTGTGTGCGTTTGGGTGGGTGTGGATGGGTGTGTGTGTGAATGTGTGCGGTGTGTGTTTGAATGTGTGTATCTGTGTCTCTGTGCGTGTGTGTGCGTGTGTGTGTGTGTGTCTGTGTGTCTGTGTGTCTGTGTGTCTGTGTGTCTGTGTGTCTGTGTGTCTGTGTCTGTGTGTCTGTGTGTCTGTCTCTCTTTGTGTGTGTGTTTGTGTGTTTGTGTGTTTGTGTGTCTGCGTGTCTGTGTGTCTGTGTGTCTGCGTGTCTGCGTGTCTGCGTGTCTGTGCGTCTGTGTGCCTGTGTGTCTGTGTCTCTCTTTGTGTGTGTGTTTGTGTGTGTGTTTGTGTGTTTGTGTGTTTGTGTGTTGGTGTTTTTGTGTGCTTGTGTTTTTGTGTGCTTGTGTTGGTGGGTTGGTGTGTTGGTGTGTTGGTGTGTTGGTGTGTTGGTGTGTTGGTGTGCTGGTGTGTTGGTGTGTTGGTCTGCTGGTGTGTTGGTGCGTTTGTGTGTTGTTGTATTTGCGTGTCTGCGTGTTTGTGTTTGTGTTGGTGTGTTGGTGTGTTGGCGTGTTGGTGTGTTGGCGTGTTGGCGTGTCGGTGTGCTGGTGTGCTGGTGTGTTGGTGTGTTGGTGTGTTGGTGTGTTTGTGCGTTGGTCTTTTTGTGTGTTGGTGTGTTGGTGTGTTGGTGTGCGTGGGTGTGATGCTGTGTTTGTGTGTTTGTGTGTTTGTGTGTCTGTGTGTTTGTGTGTTTGTGTGTTTGTGTGTTGGTGTGTTGGTCTGTTGGGGTGTTGGTGTGTTTGTGTGTTGGTGCGCTTTGTGTTGGTGTGTTGGCGTGTTGGTCTGTTGATGTGTTGGTGTGTTGGTGTGTTGGTGTGTTAATGTGTTGGTGTGTTGGTGTGTTTGTGTGTTTGTGTGTTTGTCTGTTGGTGTGTCTGTGTGCTTGTGTGCTTGTGTGTTTGTGTGTTTGTGTGATTGTGTGTTTGTGTGTGTGTGTGTGCTTGCGTGTTTGTGTGTTTGTGTGCGTGTGTGCGTCTGTGCGTATGTGCGTATGTGTGTATGTGCGTATGTGCGTGTGTGCGTGTGTGCAAGTGTGCGTGTTCGTGCGCGTGCGCGTGTACGTGTACGTGCACGTGTGTGCGTGCAAGTGCGTGTGCGTGTGCGTGCGCGTGGGCGTGTGCGTGTGCGTGTGCGTGTGCGTGTGCGCATGCGCGTGCGTGCGTGTGCGCGTGTGCGCGTGTGCGCGTGCGCGCGTGCGCGCGGTTGCGCGGGCGCGCAGGCGCGCGTGCGTGCGTGTGCGGGTGTGCGCGTGTGCGTGCGCGTCCGTGCGCGTGTTCGCGTGCGCGCGTGCGCGCGGGCGTGGGCGTGCGCGTGCGCGTGGGCGTGCGCGGGTGTGTGCGTGCGCGTGCGCGTGGGCGTGCGTGTGTGTGTGTGTGTGTGTGTCCGTGTGTGCGTGTGCGCGTGTGTGCGTGTGTGCGTGTGTGCGTGTGTGTGTGTGTGTGTCCGTGTGTGCGTGTGTGTCCGCGCTTGCGTGCGTGTGTGCCTGTGTGTGTGTGTGTGTGTGCGTGTGTGCGTGTGTGCGTGTGTGCGTGTGTGCGCGTGTTCGTGCGCGCATGTGCGCAAGTGCGTGTGCGCGCGTGTGCGCGTGCCGTGTGCGCGTGTGCGCGTGTGCGCGTGTGCGCGTGTGCACGTGTGCGCGTGTGCGCGTGTGCTGCGCGCGTGCGCGTGTGGGCGTGCGCGTGCATGTGCGTGCGCGTCGTCGTGCGCGTGTGCGTGCGCGTGTGCGTGTGTTTGGGTGCGTGTGTTTGGGTGCGTGCGTGCGTGCGTGCGTGCGTGCGTGCGTGCGTGCGTACGCGTGCGCGTGCGCGTGCGCGTGCGCGTGTGTGTGTGTGTGTGTGCGCGTGCGCGTGCGCGTGTGCTTGTGTCTGTGTGCGTGAGGGTGGGTGTGTGTGTGTGAATGTATGCGGTGTTTGTTTGTGTATGTGTATGTGACTCTCTGTGTGTGCGTGTGTCTGCGCACGCGCGTGGCACAAGTTTCCATTACCGCCTGCGTCGCCTCACGCCAGGGGCGCTGGGGGAGGCGGGTGCGGGTTGCTTGCAGCAACAAGCCTTAGACTTTGATCGCGTCGTACCAAGACGTCCGGGGTCCGTACTTGCGTTCGTGCATGCTTGCGTGCGCGCTTCTGCTTCCGCTTGCGCCTCTGCTCGCTCTTGCGGCGGCGCCTGTGTTCGTGATCATGTTCGTGTTCCGGCTTGCTTTCGCTTTGTGTTCGGACTCGCTTGTGGGTGGGCGGTTGTGGTTGAAACATGAAGACCCACAGCCTTTTCGCACCGGACTCCCCGCAAACATTCCTACAGCGGCTCGCGCTGGGGCACTTCAGCCACAATTGTGCGAGCCCGTCCCCGTGTGAGGTCGCCGAGTCAGGTTGGCCCAAGCATGGCCACAAGGGGGGAGCTGGCCAGGCTCCAGCTCGGAAGTGCAGCGCTGGAGCGGTTCTGACTGGCAAGCGCCATCCACCACACGGCGGCCCACGAGACCCTCGAGAAGTCGCTGCAAGCCAGCCAACTGCGATTGGTTGAACAGGCAGAACGTGGTTCCGGAGCTGGTGCACGTTAGCACCAGCCGCAGCTCAGCCCCAACCTTGCACACCAAGGGCCATGGCTAACAGCCAGCCAGAGCCCGGCGTGAGTGCAGCATCGACAGGCATGACGCCTGGACCGCATGCCACGATGGACTTGCATGTCCAAGCTGGGCATACCCACCTGAACATGAAAGTCCATGCAGTTGGATGGGATCTTCAATAGAGGTACTCTCCCATCATTCGCAAGCAGCTATGGCCAAGACGACTCCAACACACCCCTACGAGCTCCTCCAAGACACAGAAAGGCCGGGAGTCCGGAGGGCAAGCTGGCTGCGAACTCCACACAGGAGTGCGCACAGCAAAACCAAGCATGACTGACTGGAACCAAAAAGAAAGTATAGCCTTTTGGGCGCTTGAGCCAAAATGGGCTACAGCCATTTGAACATTTGGCTCAAACACTATGCGGGAAATTACACCTGCCGCCCATGCCTGCCAAAAGCAAGCACGTAACATCCCAGAAGAAGCGTGTCGGGCACAAACTGCGAAGCTCCGTGAGCGACATATAACGCGTCGGAACACCCCTAATGTGTCGAGCAGGTTTGCCAGGTTCCATGGCCAACAAAAAGCGCCTTGGAATACCCTGAAGACTGTCGGACACTAGCCGGGCTCCGTGACAACAAAATAACGCCGTGGAATATCCTGGCAAATTGCGCCCTACCAGTGCCATGTGAGCTTCTTGGTTCACCTGCTTTTGCACCCCGTCTTTAAGATGTGTGTGTGTGTGGGCTTGGCATGTTTACCATTTTGCAATAGTTGTGTCTCTTCGTTGGACAGGTGTTGCGAGGTTCCGTGACCAACAAAAAATGCCTTTACAGATTGCAAGGCCTCCTGAGAAATGTGTCGGCCAGGTTTAGTGAGTTTCCGTTACCAATGCGAAGAACAATCTTAGTGTCATTGTACAGGTCAGCCTCCTATCCAACGTTGTCCACCTGGAATGGGAGCGCAGAACACTCAAACACAAAACTCTTGGTATTGAGATTGTCGCATGCCTTCCATGGGTTGACAAACTTCCGACGACACTTCTGCCAAAAACTCTCGTAGCATGCCAGTGTGTTTTGCTAAGCCGAGCATCAAAAATCAACGGGGCCATAGAGCAACAGATCGCTTGGACCCGTGACCCGTGCGCCAGGGGGGCATCCGCACACAGCGACACCCAACATTCAACAAGCTCCTGTGCTGCATTTGGCTGGCAACCATCGTAGCAAGCAATCTGTAGCTGGCTTTGGCTGACCTAATCAAACAGGCACATGAACTGTCCACTGCCAAGCCTTGGCCCCCAACGGAGACTGCATAGGTTGCACGGAAATCCGCAGAGGAGATTGCCAAGTCCGCCTGCCGTTGTTTTGGAAAAACTGCAAGCACACGACGCGATGCGTGATGCGGCCATGCCTTGGCCCAGCAGGCTGCATACCGTGGCCAGTGCCAGCGTGCATCCCCTCACGAGAAAACTTTGAACACTTCATGCGCTAGGGCAAGTTCAGGGCGCCTTCCGACATGTTGCAGGGCAATGGGACTTCCGCTGCATTATGCCCAGCATGGCAAAATGCTCCGTCGTGGCCAGCCCAGCGCCCGGCTCATCTGAGTGTCTGCGGTCCCCGTGCGTTCAGCACAGTTGTGCACAGACACGGGAACTTTAGCTAAATTGTCAACATGACTGCGTGTCTTGTTTTTGCCGCCTGCTGACACTGTCTGCCAACAAGGCAAAGTCCTCAAACACACTGTCCAGGTCCCTTTAGAAGTGCTCTTTCATCTATGTTGCCGAGAAAAGTCCCACTTTGCTTCCAATGGCCAAGAGCTTCGAGTGGCTGGAACAGCTGAGGAAACTGCTGGAGCAGCAGATACTTAGTGCAAGAAAACAGAGTCTGGATGCGAGGTAAGTGCAACCTTTGATTGGCAGCATGCGAGTCTCTTGACGTCGCGCTTTTGCCTCTCTAAATGCATGAACCTCGCGCATGCGCAAGAGGAAAGAACCAAGGGCCTCGTTTGGACCCGACAGATTGCGAGGGAGAGCTAGCACTCACCGAAGATTTGCAAATGCGATCGGGTCCCACCGCATATTTCAATAGTGTACCCAAGCACTCCCAGCAAGTGGTCTGTACATGTACAATGGCCTTTCTGCATGTTTTCTGCTAGCAAAGCCTGTGAGACAGCAAGGCTTCAGATCAACATGTGATAAAGCTTTGCCATGCAAAGCATTCGCGGATTGCGCACTACAAATAATGCCAGGCACATATCCTGACTTGCGAGCTACGTTTCCAGCCGCAGAGGCGTTCCCTAATTGAAGCACAAATCTGCGCGTCAAAAATTAGGAACGGTGCATTTACAATCTAAAGTGGGACATCACTCTTCCAAGAAGTCTGCCTCGCGCTGAGGCTCCTGCAAGCATACGGGGTCTTCAGCCCGGGGCAGTTCAAGCTCTTGTGCCTGGATGCCGACGTACAGCCACACAGACAGGATGCCACTAAGACGGCCAATCATCCGGCACTCAATAGTATAGTACACATCCTGCACAGCAATTTGCACTGACATCAACGACCGGATTGCTTCCTACATGTCGCGGCCCTCCTACACACCTAGTCAAGTTAGCGCAAGTTGTGGGGGTCAAGTTCCCTTCCTCCTCATCCGTGTCAATGATCTGCTTGTACCTGTAAAGTCGGGTAAAGACAGCAAAGCATTGAAACCGGGACCTACTCAAAGTTTCTGCCGGCAAGCCACTGCTTGATCTGCATGAGATATTGGCGGATGCTTTCTTGATCTGAAGTGCAGAAATGCACGGGGAAACCCTTGAACTTCTTCCCGCGCTTGATTGGAAAGCTATCCTGCGACACGGCCGACACGAGAGCACACCAAAAAGTCCGTTGCAGAGGGTGGCGGGGATGGTGGATTGCCGTTTTCAGTAACGACGTGGCATCCAGAGAATCTGGACAAGCTTCTGCAATTGCCTGGGGTAGGGGCAGAGTCACATAAGCCAGGCTGAAGAGCATCCACATTTGCCAAGTTGGGCTGGAACTACCTATGGCAACAGGAGCCCGACCAGTTTCAGGTCCAAATTTTAGCGCACTTGAAAAGCAAACCAACGATGCCAAATATCCCAGCTGACCGTGCTTCCTGGCAGTAGCGTCCGATTGTTCTACGTCTTTTGATGTTCACTCGGACATCCTGCAATCTGCCCGCAATTGCAACATGCTGGAATTACCCATGGCAACTGCATGTCCTTGGCGAGTGGAAACCAAGGGGCCGGAACATGTTTGCAAGAAATGTCGCGCATGCACACACGTGCACACGGACACAGGCCCTTGCAGAAGAGGTGTTCTTGCTAGGTCTTTGGCAGAATGTCCGCTTCTGCTTCAGCCCCCTCCCAGCAAAGCAAAGAAGTAGGGGGCAGGGAAAGGCATAATTTTCGTAATCGAAAGAAACAAGCCTTTCCAGAATGCCAAGCCACTAATGGGACCTGGCAGGGTTTGACGGCTAAACAAAACTGAATGCCGAAACCCATTTCATTCCCTTTGCTGGCTGGAACGCATGAGTCATCTTCTGGGTCAAAAAAGTCTGAAGGCTTGCTCTGGTCCTCCTTTTTTTGGAACTCCTTGTAGAGTTTTTCCAGTACTCGCCAATGGTGGTCTTGCTCTTTGACGTAGTCCTGTGTCTTCTATGTTGGCCGCACGAACAGAACGCGCACTGCGCCTTGTTGTCAAAAAAGGGCCCACCGTGACGATTCCAAAGTCGAAGCTTGAGCGTATCGCCTACCAGCTGAGCAAAGCAAAGGCTCCAGATTGCTGGCTGCAACAGTATGCACTGTTGAAACTCAAACCTCTTCCCAAGCTCAGCAGCTGACCGACAAAGCGCTGAAACCTGACCAAAAAGCAAAGCCAATGAGCGTGATGCATTGCGATCCCAAGCACCTCTGCTGATCAGACATCTGGTCTTTCGGTAGATCGCGCGGAATCGCCTTGTACTCGTCAAACACCCTGGGATGCAACGCTAGCTGAAGCCTTGACAGACTTTATCTGCACCGTCACTCTGAACAACCCCCATCTCCGGCCTGCGGGCGGCAGGACTGTCTGGGTCAATCAGCCGCCAAAGCTCCTGGATGTCCAGAAAGATTCGCAGCTGCTGCATGAGCTCCTGCCGAGTTTAGCCGCCGCAAACAATGTTGCTTTCTCAGCCCTGGTGTTTTTTTTTTTAAACCCCGGCCCCGAAAGCCCAAACATCTGCGGCCCCCCTCTGCGGGGAGAGGGCCTGAGTGCAACAATGCTTTAGTCACCTTCAGATCAAGGGGCGGTTGCGCAGAGCGCGCGTGAGGCGAATGAACTCCACACAAATCCTTACGGTGAAGCAAAGTCTTGTGGCAGCAACGGTCTTCGCTGTTGTTTTTTGAATCTGTTGGGCGACGGGCTGCAAAGTCCTGGGGCTGAGAGGCCTTGTCTGTTGTTGGGTCTCGTTGTTTTTCTGATGGGGCGCAGTCTTTTTTGTTGTTGCTTCATTCTTCGTGCACAGTAGTTGGGTGAGAGGCTGCAAACTCACTGCGTTGCGAAGTCCCTTCCTACTGTTGTGAAGTGAGCGCTACAAAGTGTTTTACAGGCATTCGCGTGAATCTGGTCTTTGCCGGCTTCGCGCCAAGCGTGACCTTTACTTAGGCTCGCACGAGACATTTGTGTTTGCCAAATAACCGAAATTGCTTAACTTCCCAGACAAGGCCATCACTTCATCTTAACTCACAATTGTTGTTGCGGCGTTGTTTTTTGGATGAAGCTGAAATTACGCGCGCACGCCGCGCACAATCAAAATCTCAGCACCTCCCCGCTGCAAGTCAAGATTGGTCAATTACCAAACCCTGTTCGCGCGGCCAAAATCCTCCGGTTGTTAAATCCCCCCAGAACCCGGCAAAATGTCCCCCAGAAACCTTCAAATTCCGTAGAAATTTGCTAGAAATTTGCACCTTTGCTTGGCCCTAAAAGCACAAAAAGGGGGGCTGCAAGGAAGCAGCTCGAAGACTACGGAAGATTGCGGGAAGATGGCCAGATGACTTCAGGCAAAAGAGAGGGAAGAAGACGAGCAGAGAGGATGGAAATGACAGCCACGGTCTGGGCGCAAGCCCTCCTCGAACAGCTCTCCCTTGCCAGGCGCCTAAAATCCTGCGGGTCCCCTGCTTGTCCTTTGCTTCAGTCATCCGGCCGCGACTTTTGTCGCTGGTCCGTCTCATCCTGCTGCCTCAGACTCTGCTTCCTCACGGTAGTCACCGGCGGAGAACTGCCACTAGAGCGGTCGTCACCGCACGTGTTGCCACAAGGAACGCGTCATGAAACAAAGGCTCTTCCGTCGTGTGTCTGAGCCTCGTGGTGCCCCTGGCGCCTCCTCCGGATGCGCTAGGCGTGTCAGCCATCGACGAGTACTCCAGCACCACCGTCAGCCCCGCCACAAATCCGACAAAGGCCCAACCTGGGCTCGGCCGCCCCTCCTTCGCCGATCTTGTTCTTTCGAAGCTTCACCGCCGCCAGCATCACCTAACCTTCCATCACCCTTTGCGACCGCCACTACGGACCTGCAGCTGCTGCGCGTCCTCCTGCGTCGCCTTCGAAGTCACTGCCTGCAGGACCTTGAAATGGTCGGCCAATGTGGGCATAGACGAGGACACTGCCCACCTTGTCCCTGCCTGCAGCCCCGGTGCCAAGGCAGGCCTCAAGACTGACAGGTTGACGCTGCCGGTGGATGCGCTGGAGTCGGCGAGGCAGATTCTGCTTCTGCTTCTGCCTCTGCCTCTGCGTCTTCTTCTGTCTCTGCGTCTGCGCCTGCCTCTGCTTTTGCTTCTTCTTCTTCTTCGTCGTCTTCTTCTTTTTATTGTTCTTCTTCTTGCCGTCCTCCGACTGCTTGATGATGAGACCCATCATGGTGCCCGTGCCCTTGCCGAACCGCTCGCTAGCCTTTTCTCCTGAACGAAGCTCTTCTCCTTGAATACTCTCGTGCCGTCCGGCTCTCTCCTTTCATTTGTGCCCCTTGGCGCATCCAGAGTATGACTCGATTCTGCCAGAGGAGGCGTCTTCGAGCAAGTGGCGTCATTGGAGAAGAGGCTGAAAGTTTGACAGGCGCCAGCGCGCTCAATCAGCCCAAGGCGCCGAGATTGCTTGTGACCAAAGGCCGTGCAAGGAGCATTGCGGCTTGTCGCAGCACTCGAAGGCGAGGCGCGTGGCCAAGCCCTGCCGACGTTGAGGTCCACAGGCAGGAGGACTTTATGGCGGAGCTCCGTCGCTGGTGGAGCAGTGGAGCAAGACGTTGAAGTTTGTTTGGGTTAAAGAAAGAAGGGGAGGCCCTGTTTGAATCACTTTGGGTGCGGAACTGCTCAACGTGTTCCAAAGTGGCTGGAACAAGGCGCCCCGTTGAGCACCAGAGGAGACCATGAGGAAAGGAAGAGTGCAGCCGTCCCAACTGGGGCTGCTCGACTGGCAAACGAATCATGCACGAAAGGCGGTGGCAACTCAGGAGTGGGTGGGTCAGTTGCCGCGCCCGTGGGAACTGAAGATGTCCTCAGCGCTGGACCAGGGCGATGACGGCAAGTCCATATTGGGGAATCAGGGCAGACCCAGCGCTGCGGCCCGCAACATTCTGTCCTCCCCGCGTCGCCCACCTGCAGCACCATCATGGCGGACCGCAAGGCTGCGAAACAAAGGCAAACTTAGAGCGGGCTTCATGAGTCCGGCCACAACCAACATCCACACCCTCTCACTCTTTGTCACTCAGCTCTGTGGGGCTTGCACGAAAAGCTGCAAAGGTACACCAACATGGCTGTTTTCCAGGAACGGCGCTGTTTGAGCGCGCCCGGGTGCCACTCCTGCGTCCTCTTCCTCTTCTCTGAGATATTTTGGGGCCTGGCACCTGGCTAAGTCTTTTCCATTTCTGTTGCTAGGAGTGTGCAAAGTGTTTTCCATTTAGTGGCTAGAAACGGGTTCCCGCGCTGCGTGTTCCAGATGCGTGACTGCCATTCAGACAGAGACCCGAAGCCTTACTCTGTGCGCCCACCAAGTGGCAAATGCGGCTATGACTCCGACCGACGGAGAAACTCTGCCTGGCCTCGTTGTGGTCGAACATGGTGTCCATTCCCTTCTTGCCCCTGTAAAGTTGAAGGTTCTGCATCATCTCGGTGCCTGCATGAATGCCGCACATCAGCTAGTGGGGTTGTGCTAACTGCAGCAAGGGTGCGAAGATCATCCTGAAGTTCATCGATGATTGAAGGTTTCAGCTCAGGCTGTACGGACACGTTGGGACAAATCGGCTGGAAGTGCAGATTCCTGGGCATCTCTTTGTGTTTTTGCTGCAGCCTCACGCGCATAAGCCGAGGAACTGCTCATCCTCGGAGCTGAGAAACCGCTCCCACGTTGGGTTTTCGGCATCCTCGTCGGCATCCTCCAAATCCTGAAGTCGTGACCCCAGCCTGTGATAGAACATAAGGCAGCAAGACAACAGCCCCAGCAATGCTCAATTGCAACCACGCCACATAGGTAATGCACGCCGGATGATGATTCTGCCGGTTTGCCCAAGAGTTCTTGTCATTGAAGATGACCTGCCAAGCGCCACAAACAAGAAACTGCCAAACCTCGCCCCAGCACATGCAACAAGCTGTTCTGAAGTGCCACGTTGCCTCAATTGAGTCATACGGCAACCAGGTGACCAAGTTATCATCCTGCAGCGTCTATTTTGGCGAATCCCCGATTAAGGGGGCGTTCTCGACAACGCAAGGTCCTGCAGCATCTTTCGCTTTGGAGCTATTGGCAATCCCTGCACTCTGCTTTTTGTGCCACCCCCCCTGTCCCATAAGCTGCGACCCTATAACAACCCTCGATCCTTCCCCGCTAGAGCTCCCTGAACCATGGTTGCAACCCCCTTCCCGAAACCCACCCTAAACCACCCTAAACCCTAAATCCCTCTCCAAGACCATCCCAAACCAACCGTGAACCAACCCGAAGCCACAACCTTTAACCCCCCCCCCCTTTATTGACCCCAGCCCAAACCTTATCCCACCCCAACCCACCTCAAAATTGCCAAAAGCTTAGCTACCACCCCGTTTCACTCTAAGCCCACCTCAAACCATCCATCTTGATCCCGTAAGCCTGCAAACTCCAGTCTTAAACCAACCACGAATAGAATCATGTTTCAAGCAATTGTAACAGCAAGCATCACCAGTGGGCCGTTGATTGTGGGCAGGTAGAAATGGGTTCGGGATGCCTTACCGGGGGTTGGGATGGTTTTGCAAAGGTTGGACGTGGGATTCACTTAGAAGGCTTGTTTCAAGGGTTTGGGGTTGGTGGGGTTGAGGGCTTAAGGTAGCCAAAAACCACCCCAAGCCCTCTACAAGCTAATTCCCGAGGAACTGCATACGTGGCGGACATCTTGATTCCAAAGCAAACACAACTCTCTGCTTGGACTGCGCAACCATGTGCACACTCACCGCACACTGATGTGCCATGATTGCGGCCTCGCGCTGCTCAATGAGCTCCCGCTTGAGGCGCTCTCGGCCTGGTTCTTCCTCTTTCTTCTTTGCTTTGTCTGCTCGCATCTTTGGCTTTGGCCTTGGCACCAAGACGATACTATGAGTCCTATGAGTCCTATGAGTCCTACGAGCCCGGCATGCGGCCAACAGTCGGCAAGCTCTCCATATCTTCCAAATGCACTCGGGAGTCTTCAGCTTCACCTGGCAAAGCTACCCTCAGCTGCGCAAGCCCAATGGCCCAATGCGGTGCCTTCCCACTGTTGCTTCTCCTCATCCGCTTCTTCGTCTTGCTCTTCCTCCTCCCTTTCTTCCTTGCTAGTCGGAAAGGTGCGCTCACTCTTATTTCAGACATACTCTTGTTCAAACAATGCAGTGACCAACAATGATTCCCAATGTCCTGAATCACCAGCTGGTCGGTTCTCTTTCGCTTCACTTTTCTTGGGTCATATCTGTTTGGCAAGTGAAAGGTTTGTCGGCTGCAAGGCTCCCAGAAGGTGACCCAACCTTTCTCGCGAGTCATCACCCATGCATGTTCTATCAACTGGTCAGATTTGTCAGTCGTCGCGATCGGATCTTTGGAATAGACGGTGCCCTTGACCACATAAGCGTCTGCCTTGCACCCAAGCAGCAGGGAGCATAGCAGGACAGAGTGGTCCTGGGGGGCACCCTTCCGTCTGGCCAGGACATACTCCGGATCCTTCCAGCCATCATTGGGAATCAGACCTGTCCGGGCTTGCCGTTGAGAAATCTCGAAGGACAGGCAGTGCACCCACTCCAGGAGCTTTGCTGGAAAGCTCCACTCCTCCGGGATGATGATGGGTGACACGAAGGCCATCAAAGGAACCTCTATCCTCAAGAGAGGATGGAGCCCTACGCAAGGAAAGCGCCTCAAAGAATCTGCCGTCTGCATCATGTTCTCCTCTGTTGGCTTTTTAGCTCCAATAGAATCAGGAAAAGGCAGTGCATAATCCTCAGCCTTCTGCCTGTTTCGCGAATTCCACTCGTCTTTCTTCTTTGCCCAAACGGAATCTGCGTCTGCTTCCTGAACTTCATCTTCAAACCGCAAAGTCTCGGCCCAGTCTGGATAAAAGTAAGCCTCGAAGTGGATGAGAGCAGCATCCTTGTTCGCCAGCGCAGATTGGCCCAGGGCGGTCTTGCTTCCGTCATACACTCGCACAGATCTCGGTTCTTCGTACCACTGGTTGTGAGACTCCTGCTTCTCCTCCATCTCGTTCTCCTCTTCTTCATCATCGCGTCTGTCCGCCTTCAGTGCACCAAGAAGCGTCCGCTTTTGTGTGGCTCTGACATTGAGGATGTCACCCAGCGTAACTTGGCATCCACCGAGGCAATCAGCGGAAGTCACGTCGTCATCCCATACTTGTATCTGAATTGAGCCTTTGCTTGTAAGCTCATACTTCAAAATCGAATCCTGGTACTTCTTCTCAGCCTTCAGGGAACGCTGTGCTTGATAGTTAGGCATCGGCTAGGCATCAAAACTATCTGAGTGTGCATTGCGCGATCTCTAGCCCAAGCAATCCTTGGATCCCATCCGCATCTCTGGGAAGACCACCTCGCAATATGCAGTGTGTGTGAAGAACTGCATCGACATGTTTGATCAGAAGGCTTGCCTTCGAACCATCTCTTGTCCCTGTTGGCCGTTTGCCTTCTGAGGCCCAACCCTTGGCAGTGCCCACTTCAGTACATTGCGCCCAGTCTGCCGACATTGGCTAAGAGGGAAAGTGAACGGGGGGTGCTGTCAGATGGACGTGAGGTCTGTTTTAGCCCTTTCCCTGGAACGACTGTTAAGGTAACAAATAAGCCTGGAAATGGGAGACGTCTCAAGCTATCCTTATGAAAATGACCCGATGTCCAATGTGTCTGTTTTTTTCCCCTGCTATCTCTCTTCGATGAATATCGGGTGGGTTGTTTTCATCAGTTGCCTTGCCTAGAACAAACCTAAGATGAACGAAAGAAGCTAATGAATTCCAGATCTTCTGCCAACAGCATATCTAAGGACCATACATCCTGGAAATACTGTTGTTCATCACTTATGTCCTTGCTTCTTGATCCGTGGCATGTCATGGCTAGAAGAACTCCAAGACGTTCATGATGATCACAAACAACCAGAGAATGTGTCGTCAAACCGTGATGTTGCTACGTGTAATACATATCCAGATGCAGGAAACACATCATGAGGGCTGGCTTTAAGTAAACAATGCAATCTGCAAATGATGCAATACTTTCCAACAGTCCTGCCAACACACTGTAAAACGCAGCAAACCCCTGCCTTTTCCAGGTGGGCGCTGAAAAGCCAAACATGTTTGCGCTCGTAACTTGAAACCAAATGGGTTGTTGAAGGTCCTGGGGTCACTGCAAGCAGTCAGGCTGGATTTGCTCTGAAACCTTTTTTTGCATCCCAGCTTGTCAAAGAAGTAACGGCTTGCAGCGGTAGCTTGTCGGAGTGACATAGGCTGTTGAACCCGCGCGCTCCCCTCTTTCCGTGCCCTCCATATCTCTCTCCTCTCCTGTCCAGTCTTGCTAATTGCAACTCATGCGCAGCCTCTGCTTGCAGTTGAGGTGCTCGCACTGGGAAATAGAAACTCTGATTGAAGACCGGTCGCAGTGACTGCTTGACAACAGGGGAGACAATCACCATGTTGTCCCAAGTGCATCTCAAATAGGGATCCTTAACGCATCCAATGCAAAACAAAAAAGCATGCCGCTGGCATGCCGCTGGCATGGCACTATGCAACAAGGAGACAGAGCTGCCAGTATCAAAGTCTGCCACTGGCAGAGCCTCGCACTTCTTCACACCTTAGAGCTGTAACTTTTGGGGCGAGCATTCTGCTGGCAAGTGCCAGGTGCGGCCTCTTGCGTCCCAGCGGCGGACCACCAAGTACCGCTCAGAGGGATTCAGGTGAGAAACCTGCACGGCCACGTGAATCCCAATATTTGAAAGCAATGGGCTCTTGCGAACAGACCATTGCATCAGGCAGCTGTCGTGGCTGTCTTGAGTTGCTCTGGGCGATTGGATCGAAAATCCAGTTCTGGCTCCTTTCACGGATCAAAGCGCAAGTCTGCTTGAGGCGACTGACCTCTGACGGCCTTCATGCCCTTTGAGCGAAGGATGCACTTTACGTTGCCATTGATGTCACCAACAATGTACCGGTCATGATTCGGGGTGAAGCGCTTGACCTCAGCTCACAGTGTATCTGGGAGACGACATGTTTTTGGCTGCAGCTTGTTCACAAGTTGAAGTGGAAGTTGCAGAGTCAGAGGAACCCTGAGGCCCCGGCCTTGCCTTGAAACACCGACATGTCCAGAACCTGGGCACTCAAAGGAAGCGAGCTTGAGCAACCAAGAGTCGACAGGTGCCAGGGAGCTAAAGAATGAAGGGCCAAAACTACAAAGACCAACTTGAATTTGAGCCTAGATGCGGATGTGAGATTCAGAAGGCAACGTCCGAGCACACGGTGCGGCTGCGCAGGAGCATGCTTTTCGATGGTTGCTATAGTCCTGGGCTGCACAAGCCATGCACTGCTAAGCAGCCCGCCCACATTCAGCACAAAGCCGGGACTCGAGTTGTTGGCGAGGAAAGCGGGCGGCTTGCCGGTGAGGACGGAGACAATGAAATACGAGTTTTGCAAATGGGTCCTGGTGCCTCGAAACACAAACTTCCCGCAGCTCGGCCAAAAGAATCGGCCATCTTGTTGGTTCCATTCCTGCAGGCAGGAAGGAGAATGCTTCCCCCTAGGCATCAAGTTGCCATATGCGATGGCAAGGTTCCACTGTCTGCGAAGCAGCGCCCCTGCCCAGGTAACGCCTTTGCCCAGGCAATGTCCGTCGGTCCTTCGCAAATTTGCGAGCCCACAGGAAGCACCAAAACAAAACTCATGCAGGTAGCTCTGCATGACAAGGGTGTGCTGCATGACAACTGCGTTTCTTTGTTCACGTCTTCTTCCTAAATGCTTTGCGTTGTCGATGGGAACATGCACGGTCCCGCGGCATGGTGAAGGTGAGGCGTTTTCTTTCCTCCTTCATTTGCTTGTGCTCTGGGTTGGCACGGCTAAGCTCCAGCGTCCAATTCTCGCCTTGGCAAGGGGCAGGTTGCGGCCGGAACACAAACAGAAAGTGCCTTTAAAAGCGATGTGAAAACTCAGACAGGAGGCAGAACATGTCAAAGTCGAAAATCTCTTCCAAATTGACGGTGCAGCGGTACAGCGCGACATCGGCGACTGCTTTGGCTTTCTTCTTGTCCGCCATTTGCTTTCCTGCATGCGGCAGAATCCCGACGCCTATGCCCACATGTCTGTGAGTACGCGTGGATGGGTGCGATTCTGCGTGTTCGTCTCCAGGCGTGCATGCGCGCACGTGGCGGAATGGTGAATTTTCCTTGGTTCGGCTCGGCCTTTTTTTTCCTAGGTTCGGCGGGGCGGTCCCGATCCAGAAAAGCCGCAGAGGGTTCACGTTTGTTCCGAAGAAGCCATCGTTTGGGGTGGGTTTGGGCCGGGCTTGGGTTTCTTGAGGGTGGGTGTTTGGCTTTGTTCAGCGTTGGTTTAGTGCTGTTTAGGGTGGGGTTGGGGTTCGCTTAGGGTTTGCTGGGTTGATGTTTGGTGGTTTTAGCCCTGGTTTACCGTGGGTTTAGAGTTGGTTTTGGTTGGGCTTAAGGCTGGTTTAGGGTTGTTTCAGGGCTGGTTTCAGAATGGGAGGGATGGCTGAGTTGGCTTAGTGGTGGTTTAGGATGAGTTTAGGGTTGGTCTCAAGTGGGGTTTAAGGTTGGTAGGGATTGTTTCGTGCCTGGTGGTGGGTTTAGGGCTGGTTTAGGGTTGGCTTAGGGTTGGTTTAAGGCTGCTGTAGGTTTGGAGTTGGTTTGGGATGTTTGGGAATAGGATTTCTCTAGGGGCTGGCATAGGCGTGGGACAGACAGACAGACAGACAGACAGACAGACAGACAGACAGACAGACAGACAGACAGACAGACAGACAGACAGACAGACAGACAGACAGACAGACAGACAGACAGACAGACAGACAGACGGACACGGCCATTGACGCGAAAAAGCGCCAAAGCCAAACACCCGACAGCATCCCTCACAGCAGCTTACCCGCTGGAGATCAAGCCGGGGAGGAGGCTCCGCAAGCGTCATGGCCACCCCCGCAACAACAGCAACAACGACAATTAACGGAGCGTCGCCAGCAGGCGGAAAGGGCAGACCCTGCTGGCGGCACGCGCAGACAGAGGCTGCGATACCTGCCGGCAAGAAGGCCAGAACGCTCAAAAGGCCGAGCGTAAGCAAAAAGCCATCCAGTCCCGCCCTTGCAGCTGCTGCGGCGCCAGCCCCAGGCCGCGTCTGCTCTGCAAGCTCAGCCAGATGCGCGGCCAAGCGCCCTTCCAGCACTCGTAACATCAACTGGGACGCGGCTTGCGCTAACACCCACCAGCAGTCAGGGCACCAGACTTCTGGGGCCGTCAAGTGGCACCCGCAATTCCAGGCACATGGCGGTACTGCAAAAGAAAGCGCCAGACCGCTTCCCAGCTTCGCGTAGGGCAGGTGCAGGCCCAGGTTCTGCCTGCACCTGCAGCGCCACGTTGTCGATCACGGGTTGCCCTGGGGCAAGGTGCAAGGAAAGGCGCGTTGCTTTTATCAAGACTCCATCTCACCGCGCGCATCCCAGCTGCAAGCAAAGTGGCGCAGGTGATGACCGGCGCCCACTGTCGGCGAGCAACCCGCCTCCTGTCCACTTCTCGGCCTTGCCAGCTTGTTGCAAGGTTCTGCGCCCGTCCTCCACTGGTCGCTCCGCAAGGTCAGGGTCTGTGGGCTGCGTTGCGCATCGCTGTCCCCAGCGCCAGTGGCACAAGGGCTCGGTAGGCCAGCTCGTGCGGCTCTTCATCCAAGGCGCCCGCTGCACTGTGACCACCTTCATCCCGCCCAAGGTGCAACTCACAACCTCCAAGGGGACTGCCCACCCCCAGGCCAAAACGGCAGGGAACCGCATGTCACACCCGTCGTGTCGTGGACATCTGCCCTCTCTGTGTTCCAGATCATCCCGTATGGCATCCACTATGGCAGCTAGGGCCCTGCACGCCACGATGACATGACGGGGCGTGCAGGCCCCATCCATGCAGAGCGGGCACGCACGAGGGCTGTCAGCTGCCGCGTCTGCAGCCAGCGCTTCGAACTCGAGCATGTCAGCATCCCCCCCGCATCCGCCACCGCGCACTCCGAAGTACCACCGCACATCCAGGCAGGCAGGATGTAGCTGGCTGGCGGGGCGGAAAAGCCTTGCTCCCGTTTTGCTTCCTTGCGGGGTAAAGAGCGCAACGCCATCTGAGTAGAGGCATAGGTGTGGGTTTAGCGTGGATTTAGCTGACGTTTTGGCTTAGAGTTGGTTTAGGGGTCGTTGAGGCTGGTCGGATTAGTATAGGGTTGGGCTGGGGTTTGTCAGGATTGGGGGTTGGAAAAGGGTGGGCCTCGGTTTGGTTCAGGGTCTGCTGCTTAGGGTTCGTTTGGGGCTTGCTGGTTTTGTGGTTGGGTCGAGATTTTATTTGGGATTTTTGTTTTATTGTGGGAATTGTGTTTGTTTTCCGTGCTGGCCACTAAAATGCTGTAATTTACAGCATTTTCTCGCGAAATGTACGTATTAATGTACGTTTTTCAACATCCCCCGCATGTCCATGTCCAGCCAACATCGCCAGCATCACCAGCAAATTGGCTTCCCGCATCTCATAGTAAAAGTGAGAATTCAAGAAAAGGCGCAGGGGGGTTGGGGAGGGCGGCAGCCCCCCTTGGTGGGGGCGGCAGCCTGCCCATGATGATCGAAAAATTATGGGCAAAGAATCTAAAAAGTAACGGTCGCATGATGATGGAAAAAGTGATGATTCAATTAGGGGCAAAAAGTCCAAAATAGCGGGGGGGGTTGGGGGGGGGTTGGGGGGGGGCGGCAGCCCCCCCAATGATGATTGAAAAAGCGATGATTCAATTAAAGACGCGGGGGAGTTGGGGCGGGCGGCAGCCCCCCCCATGATGATCGAAAAGGTGATGATTCAATCAGGGGCAAAAAGTCTAAAAAATAGTGGGGGGGTTGGGGGGGGGGCGGCAGCCCCTTCCATGATGATCGAACAATTAGGGGCAAAGAATCTAAAAAGTAGCGGTCGCATGATGATCGAAAAAGTGATGGTTCAAATAGGGGCCAAAAGTCCAAAAAATAGCGGGGGGGTTGGGAGGGGCGGCAGCCCCCCCCACGATGATTGAAAAAGTGATGATTCAATTAGGGCCAAAAAAAAAAAAAGCAGCGGGGGGGTCATCAGTTCCTCTGCGGCAAGGCCTCATGGTGCAAGTGAGGATTCAATCACGGGCAAACTAATCCCTGTAAGACACCTAAAACGTAGCGGGGGTGGGGGGGGGGCGGCAATTCCCCCAAGATGCTTGAAAAAGTGATGATTCAATTGAAGGCACGGGGGGGTTGGGGGGGGGGGCGGCAGCCCCCCCATGATGATCGAAAAAGTGATGATTCAATCAGGGGCAGATGATGATTGAAAAAGTGATGATTCAATGGGCAAAAAAAAAAAAGCAGCGGGGGGGAGCGTCAGTGCCTCTGCGCCAAGGCCTCATGGTACAAGTGAGGGTTCAAATACGAATCCCTGCAGATCGAAAAAGTGATGATTCAATCAGGGGCAAAAAGTCTACAAAATAGCGGGGGGGTTGGGGGGGGCGGCAGCCCCCCCAATGATGATCGAACAATTAGGGGCAAAGAATCTAAAAAGTAGCGGTCGCATGATGATCGAAAAAGTGATGATTCAAATAGGGGCAAAAAGTCCAAGAAATAGCGGCAGCCCCCCCACGATGATTAAAAGTGATGATTCAATTAGGGCCAAAAAAATATGTTTTAAAAAAAAAGCAGCGGGGGGGTCATCAGTTCCTCTGCGGCAAGGCCCAATGGTACAAGTGAGGGTTCAATCACGGGCAAACTAATCCCTGTAAAACACCTAAAACGTAGCGGGGGTGGGGGGGCGGCAATTCCCCCCATGATGATTGAAAAAGCGATGATTCAATTAAAGACGCGGGGGAGTTGGGGCGGGCGGCAGCCCCCCCCATGATGATCGAAAAGGTGATGATTCAATCAGGGGCAAAAAGTCTAAAAAATAGTGGGGGGGTTGGGGGGGGGGCGGCAGCCCCTTCCATGATGATCGAACAATTAGGGGCAAAGAATCTAAAAAGTAGCGGTCGCATGATGATCGAAAAAGTGATGGTTCAAATAGGGGCCAAAAGTCCAAAAAATAGCGGGGGGGTTGGGAGGGGCGGCAGCCCCCCCCACGATGATTGAAAAAGTGATGATTCAATTAGGGCCAAAAAATATAAAAAAGCAGCGGGGGGGTCATCAGTTCCTCTGCGGCAAGGCCTCATGGTACAAGTGAGGATTCAATCACGGGCAAACTAATCCATGTAAAACGGCAGCCAAAGAATCTAAAAAGCAGCTGTCGCATGATGATCGAAAAAGTGATGATTCAATTAGGCGTGTATTTTAACGGGGGGCACCAGAGAGGAACTTGCGATGCTGAGGATGCAGGAAGACACAAACCAACTGGGAAAGCAGAGGATGCGAAAAGCCAAAGCCAGAAAGCCGACAGCCAAAAGCCAGCGGAACTGGCAATGCAGAGGATGCGAAAGAGAGGAACTGTGAATGCAGAGGATGCGAAATGAAAAGCCACAAAAGCCACAAAAACCCACGTAAAAGCCACAAAAGCCAAAAGCCGAAAAGCCGCCCACCCTGAAAAACAAAAATAATTCCTTAAAAAAAACGAAAAAAATCCTTAAAAAAAATTGGCCCTCCTTTGTGGTTTCTGTCGGGCTTGGGTTTTTGGGGGTTGCGGTAGGCGGTTTAGTGGTGGGTTCAGGGTCGGTTGGTTTAGCGTGCTGGTTTGGGGTGGGGTTGCAAACACTATCCTGGAAGTGATGCTAGCTGAGGATGTGGGAAGGCAAACCAAACGCACAAAAGCACGCCAAAAGCCGCGAAAGCCAAAGACGATCCACCGACCGACCGGCCGACCGACCGACCGACTCACCGACCGACTCGGGCACCCTTCCACGACCCAGCCCGCCAAACCTTAAAAAAATAGAAAGAAAACTCGGGGCCCAGTGCCATTTGCTTTCCTGCATGCGGCAGAATCCCGACGCCTGTGCCCACATGTCTGTGAGTACGCGTGGATTGGTGCAATTCTGCTTGGCTCTACACACGGGCAACCGATTGGTGCAACCGATTGTCTGGAGAGCTTGCGCAGGATCCGAAGCTCCATGTTCGGATCGCGATTTGCAATTTGAGAGAGCTTCTGCTTCTTCACGCCAAAGTATTCATTGAATGTCCAGCAAGATACTCGCCACATGTCCACCTTCACCACATGCTTCTCAAGCTCCTGGCCGACCAAAGCTGCGTCTGGCAAGAAAGTCCGTTCCACTGCTGAAAATGGTTCCTAGCACATCACGAACCACTATGGGGAAGGAACGAGCTGGCTCAGGGCGTCTTCATGCCCGGTTTCGCTAATTCTTTCAGCAAACCAATCGCCGTCCAGGAAGTAAATCCTCCCATCACACACCAGCACACCGGCCTTGTAAGAGAGTGCAAACGTCTTGCGCTCATACATGATGACCGGATTGTCCGCAGTAAACACCTTTCCCTTCTCCAAAGTGAATATGGAAGTGAATTTTGTCTGCAGCCGCACCTAAGTCCCAAGTCGGCCGTCCGGGCGACCCAAGCTCTTGAGGCATGAAAGAAGTCGGAAAACATGAACATAAACGCAATCGAAAGGCTCGATTTTTGTGCTTCTTGGGATTGTCACTGCCCAAAGACACGGTCCAAAACAGCTTCAAGGTTTCCACCGTCACATTCTCGAAGCCTCTCACTGAAAAGGTGAACTCCCACCATCGCTTTCGGTCCATTGGCTCCTTGTTGTCTTCGGGATCTTCCTGCCCGTCCAGGGAACTCGCCAAGCGAAGGAACTCACAAGGAAACTCACACCTTGCCTCAGCCTTTCCAAAGAGCTTGGGCATCCTGAATCCAATCCTCCTTAGCTCGAGGGTGCTTGCCCTTGTCATGTTCAGCTTTACTAAGGCAACAAAACAAAGGCTGCACGATGTGCCGAGGCACCTCTTGCTTGCAGCATTCCCTTTGATGGCTTCCCCATCGCCTTGCAACTCTCAGCTTCCAGCCCCTTCTTACAGTTTGCTAGCTTCGAAGCTTGAGGAATTCCGCATTCAGATTGAATTGGCTGGCGTGATGCATGCGTTCCTACGTGGCCCAAACACCTACGACGGTCCTGCATCCGCTTCTGGCTCAAGAGCTTCGACGATCTCAGCTATGACGTCACCTTTGGAAGCAACAAACAGCTCCGTCACAAACTCACCGTCAGCACAACAAAAGGCAGGTTAGCTTCCAGAAGTTAGACGCTGCAGGCAAGGAACCGGTGCCAGTGAGGTCACCAGCTTCCAAGTCGACATCGGTTGGAACGGCCTGTGCACAGAAGCCGCCGAGCATCACAGGTGTCACAGCTGTCACAGGTGTCACCAAGCACCTCTTCCTGGGCATCCTTCTTGCGCAGCAGCCCCATCGACAAGTCTTTGCGCAGCACCTCAGGCCCTCGTGTACGCATGCTTTGGTTGCTATTTTCCCCTCGGCCCCTGCCTACCTTGAACGTTCTAAATGACATTTCTCATGAATGTTTGCTCCTGTGAAGTTCAAAAGTCTGCGTCAACAGCCTTGAGCCTCCTCCAGCCAAACAGCCCTGAAGCGTGAACATATGCATTGCGGACTTCTTTCGGCAAGATGCAAGGTGCACCGCAATCTTTCTGCGAACTGACAAAGGCTACCATGCAACTCCACGCAAAGTGTCAAGAGCTGCTTCTGCACCCCAGACGTGAACACTGCCCACACCCAGCTTGGCTGAGAAGCAACTGAAAATATATTGTGGCGGAGTGGAAAATCCAGGAGCTGCAGCTCGAAGCAACGTGCAGCTGATGCAATGGAAAATCCGAAATGTCATGGCCATAGAGGTAATTTATTTGGGGCGGGCCCAAACCATTTCAAAGTCTGCCAGGCCAATTGGCAGAGCCCCAGGAATGTCGTAAACTTCCTTGTCTGGCCTGCGCACAATCTCTAAGCTCTTAGCAAAGAGAGAGAGGTCTCCAGGCCTGAGCCGTGCCAGCATGGCCTCAGCATCGCAATGTCAAAACCTGCCTATCTTGCCACATACGTAATTCTCAGCGTCACCGGTACAAGCCGCTGGGAGCACAGCGCTGCAGTCAGATACGCCGCCAACCATGTATCCTTGCCAAGCATTGAGCATTGGGAACCATGTCTTGGTGCTGAATGCTAATTTAGCCAAATTTCGGGTCTTGCCACGGTACCACGGCAGCAAAGGTGATCGCCCGCGGCCCTCTCTGAGAGCATGCTAGCTGCTAGCGCAAACTGTCCTGCACTCTCTGAAACCAATGCGCCTTGAACATCTCGAAGGTTTTGTTTGCACCACTATTCAGCGGGTCGCTGGCTGCAACGGCACCTGATGAGAAAACCCTGGCCGCAACGCGTTGTGGGGTACCCCCTGCAAGCAAACAGGGGATCCAGAATAACTGCTTGCCGTCTGTGGCCATTCCTACAGGATTGCAACAAGGGGTCGTAGGTTGCAGCCCTCTAGACCTAAAGTGACACCTGAACGTCCGGCGGCTGCCTGCCTGAGATCTATGCGCTCAAAGTTTGACTGCCCAGAACGCCCCAAACCATTGAGTTGGTTTTCAATTTCCGCGTCGGAGCTGCTCGCTGGCAGTCTGCAACGGCATTGAAACTGACGAAAGGGCAACTCAAGGAAATTCCCTTTGCCGTTTCCCGCTGATTGTCAATGTGCATGGAACAGAAATGCTTTGGGAGATGAGGGCTGGAAGCCATGGACGGGTATTACGCCTCTGTGAAAAGAAACAGCACACATGTCTTTGATAGAAGTTGTTTGTCAGCATCGGCATCTCCAGTCCCGCCCTACGACATTGCGGAGCTTCATTGCACATTTCCCAACTGCTTGTCATCGGAAGATACTGATCTTAAATCTTGGTTGTCAATCATGTTCACCGGCTTCAGTTCCCATGATCGGAAATGGCGGCAGTAACCTTCCGGAACATGTTTGTATCCTTGATCAACTTCAAGTGTCGCCAGCCGTCAAGACACATGCATGCCCCCTGCCAGCTACACTGGCGCACTATTTCACCAGCTACCCGGGCTAGGGGGAGAATGCAAGGAAGAGAAGCAAACGCTCATGTTTAGTGCTGGAACCAAGTCACATACAGCAGCAACATCGGCACGAGGTACACTGCCCACGTAGGTGTCTCCTTGATTGAACCTTAAGCCAGCGCGAATCTCGCTCTGTGTGCTTCTGGTCAAGTCGTTGGTAACTTTGCTGCTGCCAGGGTTAGACAAGAAGCTGCAACTCCACAAAGCCAGCAGGCGGTTCCATTGTGAGACCACCAGGGCGGACCTAAGTGCTTGCAATGGACGCATCCTGGCATTCTCCCATGCCGGTTGCGGCCCGTGCAATTGTCAAAATATCTCTGCCATCGTGTGTTTGAGCATCTGTTGTCCCTTCCTTTCCCTGCGGTCATTCATTCATCCCTCTTGTTTCTTTTCTCTTCCGCTTTAAACGAAAACGAATCACACCTCCCTGCTTCGGTTCTGAAAGCAGCTGGAAGTGTCTTTAGCCGGCGCTCCGCCAACAACAACACCAGCCCAGGCAAATAGAAATACCTGGTGCACTTATTTTTGAGCATAACGCCACATTGGCCCCAGCATAGCGGGTACGGACTCCTTGCAAACCATGCCGCGCCCACCAACACTCACCCAGAGCCAACATATCAGCTTTCACCCACTGCTTGTGACCATGCAGGATCCGGAGAAAGAGGTGTCACGCTTCGCGGGCTGGAGAAATATCCAGGGTCGGGAAGAGAGCCCTCGCCATGAGAATGGAATGAAGGTAGCCAATATGCGGAAAACAAAGACAAGGAGCACATCAGAAATGAGCGAGTAAAAGCCGAGTGATGTCAAGCAGCGGTTAGAACCGGGAGGAAATTCCGAAAAGTGTGCCCCAATATGTGTTCCGAGCCTGAAATAACAAAGAGGTGGTGCATGCAGAAAAACATCTGGTGGGCAAAGTAGCTGCCAGTCCTAACATGAGCAAGAGACGTGGTCCCAAGCCCTGGCAATGCAAAACAAACACCAAACTCAAGACTAAACCAACACAAGTAGAGCTGGCGAAGCCGGTGGGCGGAGGTTTCACCTATAGTGCTATGTATCGTTCTTATCTTTGTCTCTTCTTGCTCTTTCTCTTTCTCTTTACGATTCTCTTTCTCTTTCTCTTTCTCTGCCGTTGTCTCTCTATCTCTCTCTATCTCTCTTTCCTTTGTTCTTTATTGCTCTTCTTTCTCTCGCTCTTGTTGCTCCTTCTCTGTTTTATCTTTCTATCAATCCATCTCATCTATTTATCTATCTATCTGTCCATATCTATCGCTCTGTCTATCTAGCTATCTCTCAAATCTAACCTATCCGAATTACCAGCCTACCTACCCACAGATCTATCTATCTAATCTAATACTAAACTAATCCAATCTATCTGTCTACAGTATCTGTTCTGCTTGTCTATCTACATAACCTATCAAATCGATTTAATATCATCCATCAATGTGTCACGTCTCGTTCCTACTGCTCAGTTGCTCTCGCACCCTTTTTCTTCTCCCATCAAAGGTCAGGACCGCTCGTGCCTATATCAACCCTGCTGCTCTGGATCGCCATGCATCTCTTGCACGGCTTGTGCTGAAAGGGGTCACCGGACACTCCGGCACGGATGCCTCCAACATCCTCAAAAGTTCCCCGATCTGGATCCCTCCAGACCAAGTTAACCAAGACCCCGTCCTCAGCACAGTTTGCCTAATGCGCAAACCCCAGTCCCTACAGAACCTTCAAAGTTGTCGGTCACTGGACGACAGGCCAGAGAACTAGGGTGGGCTGGGTGGGGAAGCCAAAAAGGGTGTCTGCCAGTTTGGCTCAGGCTTGAGCCAAAATGGCAAACACATAACAATAATGATGCATGTTCACCCAATGCCTGCCAACCTCTAAACATGGCATACATGAATGTGTCACGTATCGTTGCTACTGCTCAGTTGACTTTTTTCTTCTCCCATCAAAGGCGTGCCTATATCGCCACGCATCTCTTGCATGGCCTGCGCTGAAAGGGGTCACCGGACACTCCAGCACGGATGCCTCCAACATCCTTAAAAGCTCCAAGGTCCCAACAAACAACAAGTCCTGCGGTGAACGTCTGAAAGCAATGGGCGTGCTAGAGCCCCACTCTAGATGGAACACTCCGAAACCAAAAAGGGTGTCAGTTTGGCTTCAGTCACATAACAGTTGATGATACATGTTCACCCAATGCCCGCCAAACTCTAAACATTTCATAGCTTCATCTATCTCCTCCTATCAAATCTATCTTTCAATCCATCTGTTTATCTCTATAACTTTATCTTTAGCTCTTTCTCGTTCTCGGTGCATTCTGTTTTCTCACGGGCATTCTTCCGTGAAGCTGCGGTGAAACTGGTTGAGACGTGAAAACGGCCCCTACACGCCCGGCGCCCAACGAGCGTCAGGACACGACATCACTCTCCCGTGGTGCACTTGCATAAGCATCGCCACCTCTCTTTCTCGTTCTCTTCTTTTTCTTTCTCCTTCCCAAATGCTGCGAAAGTGCTGCGCCTGTCACGTACTATAATCTGCACCTGACCTGTCCCGAATCCGTACCTGAAGTCGCGAAGAGTCCGTGCCAATGGGCCCGGGCCAGACCATTGGATTTGATTGACGACCGTTTGAAGCAGGGCAGCTGGAAAGCCAAAGCGCGCAGAGGGTTGCTCTGGAAAAAGATATGATGCTCCTTGCGACAGGCTATCAATACCAAGCCACGCTTTGCGGATGCGCGATTGCAATATGCAAATGCCACCTTGACACGCCTTGCCTTTCCTTCAGTTTAAGCACGAGAAAGAGCGACTCGTGCGGCGCGGGACGGAGCTTCACCAACGTCTTAGCCCTTCCCTCCCTTTAACACCCCCCTACAGCGGGTCTAGAAGGACTAGTTCTTAGCAATTGTCCAAAAGAAGACCTTAGTATTGGGAAAAGATAATTGTAGTGCGACTTTTGAGTTGGAATTGAGGATTCCGGAACTACAACAGGATTCCAACGCACCTTCAGAATGGACCAATTGCATCGTTTCCCTTTCTGTTTCTTGCAGTTGCCCGGGAGCCCTGCAATCGTATACGATGACCTGCCAAGCTTGCAAAAAGGACACATCAAGGGCACCTGCCACTGCTTCCAGCAACATCCAGCAACTAAGCATCGCGGCTCGCTTCCCTCAAAGAGTTCTTTCACTTTGTCCTCGCCCTCGAGAAATGTCTCAAGCCAATGAACCCAATGTTTCCCTAAACTGCGGCCTCCAACTTTTCGCTCAGCACGCCAGATCCGATCCTTAATCGGCTTCAAAGCGTACTTGCGGCAATTTCCTTCTTTCTTTCTTGCACTGAACAGAAAAACAGCTTCGAGCCACGTCTCGTGTTCAATAGAATCCCCACTGGGGCATAGGGTCTGGTGACCGAAGCGCTGCTGACAACAACCAGCCGCTCGACACCCTGCTCCAGGACCGCCTGCCCAAGTAGGACACAGCACTAGACTATTGTGATTCTAGGTTTGTTCCTCCCCACACCTTGGCGCAGTTCACCAAACCAGCCTTGGGCAATTCAAGGCACAAAACAACCGTGTTCGGCAAAAATGGTTGCTAGTGCTTGCGCAAGTAAACCCGCCAAGGGTCATTGTCTACATCTTGCGGCTTCGTCTTCCCTCGCGAATACGCCGCCTCAACGCGCAACTGCAACTGCAATCTCTGTCAAGAAGTCGCACCGACCGAGGCGCTGACTGCAAACACAACAGCCGCCACCCCTGCAAAAGCTGCAGCCAGGGATGACGCATCAGTGACATCGGCCTGGCAAGCCATATCTCTGAAGTCTGCCTCATGCGCACTCAGCATCGCTACAAAGAGGCTGAGGCCTGTCCCACTTCGAATTGTTCTTGGTTGATGCTTGCGTCCTGACAACGGTCACGCCCCTGAAGTTAAACTCTTCCTGTTTTTGACCAGTTTCACTACAATGGCTCCTCCGGCTGCCAGTTGCCTGACCTTGTCAAGGCTCTGGCTTTTGCCAGCCCTCCTTTGGCGATGGCCTGCGGCAACAATGGTTTCTGCATGGCCCCCAGCACGCCTCACAAGGAACTCACTTATGTCCAATAGACTGCGGACTTTCCGGCATGCACAATCACATCTGGATATTCTGTTCAACTCAAAGTTGCCTCACGCACCCACCCATGTAGCGAAAGCCGGTGTCTCCATAAATATCCATAACATGTGTGGGCGCTGCTCGCTGCGCTCGCTGCCAGCCAAAATCCAAATAGGTGCATTGAACCGTTCCAGCCGCCCAGCTGTTGCGACAGCACCAGTAAAACGAGGTTTCGGCCGCGTGCAACATCCAGAAGCACCGCGAAGACAGCTGCCCGTGGCGTTCGGCGATCACGCAAAAGGCCCCCGCCAGCCAGAAGGAGTGGCACGAAAAACAAACTGTTGACCTCGGGCACTTGGGGGGCCGGGCAGCCGTCCAAGTGTAGGGCCCGCAGCACATGCCCAACGCAAAGGGAGATGCAGGCCACGGAGAAGGGAAATGGCCAGCCTGACAGACGCAGGTGGCCAAATCCAGCCAGTCTGCCGAAGACCTCAGACGGGTCAAGTCAAGGGTCAAAAATAATGTGTTGAGACATGTCGCTCCATTTTTCTAGGAAGACATACGCCCGCATAAAACCCTGGTACGCGGCATGCCTCATGATCATGCCGTTCGGCGGTTAGCACGGGCGCGTGCCAGCAGTGTGCCATTTTTTGTCTCGAATGCGTGGCGCCGTCTCAGCGGGATTTGCTCGGCGATTGTCATCTTTCTTGGCCGAGAGCGCATGCCGTGCGCATGCCGCCAGCCTGTGTGACTTCGGCGAGCCCTTTGCTGGACGCAACCGCGTCCAGTGCATGTGAGCCGCCGGCCTCCGCACGAACAGTCGCAGGGACCTCGATCGCCGCTAAAGCCTCCATGCCAGGGAAGGGATAGCGAAGTGCCAAAAAACGCGGGCGCGCAAAATGCTGTCAGCATCACACTGACAGCATCATCGTGATGCTGACAGCATTATGGTGATACTTCAGCCACATACACGCACACACAACGTCCCAGTGAGTTCGGCAGCGTGATGGTGATGTTGGCCAGCCATGAAGTTTCATGCGCTAGCCGTGCTACATTTTTCCCCAAACGCATTCCGCTCGCACCGTTGGGGAATTTTATGGAATTTTTCGTTTGGCAAAGCAGGGCGTGGATGGCGTGGTCAGACGAACCGTACTCTCACGACTTGAAAGGGGCAAGCACTATACGCTGTATGCTTGCCGGAGCTTTTCTGGAAAACGCGGGCGTGGAATTTGCGCACGACGAACAGGCGTCAGACTGGTCGATCACATGCGGTCGGACAGGATCTGCCTCCGTCGGTCCGTGGCGATGCGGGAGCTTTTTGTGGAAAAATCTAAACCTCAGCCAGGGCCAGTTGCCGGTCGCGCCCCGACCACGGTGCCAACGAGTTCTTCATTGTGTTGCCCTTCCCACCTTTTCCGCGCCGCCTCCGCCTCCCTCTGCCCCTCTCTGAGCGCACCTGCCGGCGCCGTCGCCCCTTGGACCCCGTGCAGCTTGTGCCAAGCCTGGCGTGCTCAGGGGACTAGGCTGTCCATTGGAGCGGCTTCGCGTTTGCGCAAAGCAGGAGCCAGAGGCACAATCAACACATGCCTGGCCGGCCTGAATGTGCGCGTTGACAGGGTCGACGACGCACATGGCCTCCTACTGTAAGGGGTCAGCAGCTCGCAGCCGACGCAACCCATGCATCGCCCTTGCCTACCAGGCCGGAATGTGCATATGCGGAACTTTTTCGAGCACGCCGCTGCTGCCTGGCTGTGCTCGCAGTCGACGTTGGGAGCTGGTAGAGTGAGGGGGCCGCCTTTGTGCGCAAACTTGCGGCGGTGACGGTTTCTACACTGGACGCCCGGTGAACTGGGTTGCTGAGGGCAGCCATGGCAGCCTTTGCCGCCTCGCTTGCCCGCCGGGCTGCCGGCCTTCGCCGACAAAGGGGTCATGCTCCCCCTCGCATTGGTTGTGAATACAAGCCAGCTTCCAACATGCACAATGGAGCTTGGTGTCGGTGGCCCTCATACGTCCGGCGCCCAGCGGGCGTCGGGCCGCGGGGCGCGCCACGACCGCGGCGTCTGCCAAGGCCCGAGGAGCGCAATGGAATGGAAGGCGCCTGCGTGCTGTTGCGCCAGCGTCCGCACCACGACGCGGCCACGCACTCCGCCGTCGGGTTCCTGCGGGCCCACCATCCGACCAAAGCGCACGCGCGCGGTCACGGGCGATGGCACCGCGGCAGTCGCGAGCGTATCCGCCACGCGGAACAAGAGCCCTGCGCTGGCCTCGTCGTCGATGAGGACGCGAAGCGCCTCTGCGGTACACCCGGAGGGCCCCGCCGCGCTGCCACGCACGTTCTGCAGAAAGCGCTCCTGGGACAAGGCGAGTGGGGCAGGCAGGTTGTCGGACTGGCGGGCGTGCGTCCCGGGCGGCGCTGCGTCGGTTTCGACGCATGGCTCCGCCGCAAAAGCCGCGCGACCAGCTTGGCGCACGCTCGAGGAATCCGGCAAGGCTGGTCCGGGATGGCCTGCCGCGCTCGCCAAACAGAGGCTTTGTTTTGCTTTGCGTGCCTAGTAGGAAAGGAAAAAATATCTACAAGTTGAATCAATCAAGCCGTGTAGTTTGGTACAAACGGCCAAGCTTTTAATTTCCATAGAAGATATTCATCAAGCCAATGACCTTGATTCTGCTGACGATCATTCCATTTGACAGCAGGTCAGCCCACTCTACGACCTGGAGGGTGGGAAAAGTTCATTTGCCAGCGCGTGCTTGGATTCCAAGAGCAAATTTTCTGGCAAAAACACCGACCGTGGCGGCCTGAAAAGCAGCACGCGTGGAAGGAGCAAACTGGCACGGATGAGAAGGCCCGAGGGAGCAGGCCCCAGACACGCGGGGAAGTTGTCTTCGTGTTAAATCGGTGGCTGCTCGGACAAAGGGGACACCGGAGAGCGTGGGCGGAAAGTGCCAGGCTGAAAACTAAGGCTGGGCAGGTCGCCTGCAGCAAACGAGCCCGAAGGGCCAACGAAAGAGCTACACGATAAGTCCTCAGGAAGGAACTTGGGTAGGCCCGGGGAGAAACAAAGTAAAACGCAACGCTGCTGAAAGAACTCCTGCAAGTCCACTTGGTCGAGACGAGCAAGGGCGGTACAGACGGGCTGTCCAAATCCGGAGTTAGCGGGGGAGCTGGGCGCGGGTGAGCTGCCGTCTGCCGGCGCTTACGCGACTGGGGCGCGCCAACATCCTCCTCGGGAAGGCCATGAAGACTCACCGGCTGTAAGGGGGGACTCACCAGTTTGGGGTCAAGCTGTGGTGCCAAAAAACGGCTGGTCTGGAACTGGCAGCACGGCGGACGGCCACATAAGCGGCGCGGGCTGAGCGCCCGAACGCGACCGAGCAACAAGGAGCAGCGCAGCGACGGCACCAACGTGGCCGAAACGCGTCGGCCATCCAAGGCAGCAATACCTTGCGGTGTTTCAGGGACAGATAAAAACCCAAGACGGAGGCACCGAGCGACGGCTGCTTGTTGATGGCGTGGCCACTTGCGGGCAACAAGCCTCCGCCAGGAATGGAACTGTTCACCTCAGGCACTTGTCCTCCCGCGGGGGGGGCAAGCAGCAATTCAAGTGTGCCAACCCACATTCTTCTGACGTGCTACACATGGCCACGCGCTCATGTGTTGCGCGCGAAGTCCCGACAGGAAGCTGGAGGATGGAGGTGGCCAACTTTGACATGAGATGCCTGCTGCGACATTCCAAAATGCAAGTCTCGTCTGCCACGGCGCTGCTTTCATATTGGAAGTTGGCGCGTCTCCCAAACTCATGTTGAAAGACCAAATCGTTGGACCGATGGGACAGAAAATTTCAGGCGATGAATGAGTTTGGGTAGCTGAGTTGCCGAATGGTCACATGTAACGACAAGAACTGTGCCATGTCCCAAGCAGTGCTAGCGAGCGTGGGCCGGCATGGATCGCGCCAATTCATAAAAAGTTGCCTTTTTTTCACGCGTTGCCTGTGCCCTAATGAGCCGCCTTCGGGTTTACACCTGGGCGCAGCTAGGCGCTTGGACTGCCTGGAATGATGACACGTGGCGACACGAGCTCTCTAACAATGAGAGCGGCCTAACCTAAGTCGCAGCAATTCATAACGAGTTGCCTTCCCTCGTTGTGCCTGTGCCCTGAATGGGCCGCCCACGGGCTCACCGCGTAGCTGAATGATCCGGTCGGATCGCGAAAAACGCTGTCGAGTATCAAAACGTCGTCTTTGCGTAAAGTGGTTGCTTGCCCATCTCCACTGCCCGTTGCGGAAACGCCGGCCATGGTTGTGAACAACCACCGGGTGTGTTTGGCGTGCCTGCACGCAGGCTGGCCAGGCAAGCCCAACTTGTCGAAAAATTTGGGTGAGAGTCGCCCGCGAGGCCGTCTGCTCCAAGGGCCAAGTCGTGCCCCCAGGAGTGGCTGACGCACGCAAACGTGCGAGTCGAAGACGCCGATCGGCGGCGGCTGGGCCTCGTCGTCCACAGGAACACAGTTTCGGAAGCACGGCTTCGGGCGTTGCCATGTGTTGCGATGCCACGGTCGTCTCGCTCTGGAGACGCGAGGGCCGGGCACAGGCGGACGGCGTGGCGTTGCGTCCGGCAGAGCACCGCAAGCTGGCTGCCTACCCGGAGCTCGGGCGCCCCAGGCGCGCCGTTGCGCGCTGTCAACGTCGCCAACCTCATCCGGGTTCAAGCGCGGCCCTCGCTCCGGCGGACCGCCGGCATCGCGTGGAAGCGACGATGGCGAAGTCTCGCCGCCCGGCTCCCACAAACACGTTGTGTCGGAGCCTTGCGCATGGGAGGACTCACCCCACAGATCTGCATAAGCAGCACGGTGATCGGCGACGACCTTGGCAGAAGCGCTCGCCAGGCGAGAAGCAGAGGCAAGTCAGGAACCCGGAAGCCGCGACGCCAGGCACCACATGCTGCGACGCC